AYAGATAATACATAAACARWGGTAAAGGCTTTCCCYATCTTTTTCCATTTCCATSTGGRGGYTGTGCTTGACTCCGGKCATGGGWGGGGTGGGGGGAGGGGGTGCTGTCACTCAATCTTCTRTGCCAAGGAGCTTTGTCGTCTGTTGATGTCCACCCAATYGAATCACCAGTAYRTCCTTATGGGCRYCTTTCATTACGTCCCTGCTTAAAGCGGTATCTATTTATCWACTCACATTTCTGTATTYGATCTGCTAGGTGAGCAGAAGCTAGGGCTGATGGCAGGTACTCACGCCAACCCGGGTTTGAACTGTCAATCTTTTGATCGCCAGGATTTTCTGCAGCTTAGCGGTTTAACCATCTGTGCTAAGCCCAGCCTCATTATCGTTATTATTTCTGAGTAGGGATTTGCAGGCACCGTAGTCCAACCAAACTGACTTTAAAGATAGACATGTGATTGCCTTCCTCTGAAATTGAGAGTCAGCTCAGGAATTACTCACTTTTTCAAGTCTATGGATTCCTCGTTTTCTACTTTCTTCTGGACACTTTCCTCTAACATTTTCCCATAATGGTTGATGATGGGCAACATCTGAAAAACACACCAAAGCCCTCTGAGATGTTGACATGGACTTTGTGCATCTACTAAATAGACTATAGAGTATCAATTCACTTGGAGTTTGGCGGTGGAAGAGAGTGTTATGGATTCCATGGATTGCCAAAAGAACAAATAAAGGAAAGCATCAAGTCTGAACATTTCCCATATGTCAAAATGACTGCACTAAGGCCCCATCTACACTACCATGTTAAATCCAGATTATCTGCTTTGAACTGGATTATATGGCAGTGTAGACTCATCTAATCCAGTTCTTAGCAGATAATGTGGATTATCTGCTTTGATAATAATATGGATTACATGGAAATGTAGACTCACATAATCCAGTTCAAAGCAAATAATGTGGATTATCTGCTTTAAGAATAATCCAGATTACATGGCACTGTAGACTCATATAATCTAGTTCAAAGCAGATAACGTGGGTTATCTGCTTTGATAGTAATCCGGATTATATGGAAGCATAGACTCATATAATCTAGTTCAAAGCAGATAATGTGGGTTATCTGCTTTGATAATAATCTGGATTACATGGCAGTGTAGACTCACATAATCCAGTTCAAAGCAGATAATGTTGATTATCTGCTTTGATAATAATCTGGATTATATGACAGTGTAGACTCATGTAATCCAGTTCAAAGCAGATAATATGGATTATCTGCTTTGATAATAATCTGGATTGCATGGAAGTGTAGACTCATATAATCTAGTTGAAAGTGGATAATGTGGATTATCTGCTTTGGTAATAATCTGGATTATATGGCAGTGTAGAAGGGGCCTGAGGCTATTTCACTTTAGACATCTCATGAGATGACATGATTCAATGAGAAAGACAATAATGCTTAGTAAAAGGGAAGATAGAAGGAAATGAGGACAGGCACACAACAAGAAGATTGAGTCAGTGGAGGAGTCTATGGCTCTACATATGCGTCTACACTGCCATATAATCCAGTTCAAAGCAGATAATCTGGATTTTATCTGGCAGATGGAGTTTATGACTTTTTTTTGGCCAACAGGATCTTAGCGGAGCTGTTGATGACTGGCCAAAATGACTAAATGGAGGCTTTGATAATAATCTTTGGGCATCTCATGAGATGACATGGTTCATTGGGCAAGATGATCATAATCAGTAAAGTGGAAGGTGGCATCACAAGGAAATTGAGTCAATTGAGGAACCTACAGACTCCAAGTGTTTCAATCCAATGATGGTTGTACATCAAAGCCAACTTGATGACAAATAACAATAACAATGCTGGTCGCATCCATGGCTTACTTCTTTCAGCCTCCCACTAGTGAAGTTTGGAGACAGGACGGTGCGGATCCTCTTCCAGTGTTCATCTCGAGTTATGGCTATTGAAGTATCCAGCTCTCCATTCAGCCCAAAGTCCTATAAAAGCCGAGTCAAAAAGAAAACAATAAGGGGTGTCAGTTGCATCTATTATTCTCCTCCTTTTTAAAAATCTAGAACATATTTTTTGCCATATATACGAGGGTTGACTGAAAAGTAATGCCTCCACCTTCGTTACTTGGGTTTGGATGGGAATATTTTAATAAATCAAACACAGAAACAATTCTTAGAATGTGCTCTTTAACTACCACTATGCACTTTTCCACATAATCTCCAGACAATTGGATACATTTCTGCCAACAATGAACAAGTTTCTGAAGTCGTCATGGAAGAAGTCGACACTCTCTTTCCGCAACCAGTATCTCACAGTTCTCTCAACATCTTCATCAGAAGCAGAATGATGTGCTCACAGATCTTCTTTCATTATCGGGAACAGATGGAAGTCAGACGGTGCTAAATCTGGACTGTATGGAGGATGCTGTACGGTGGTGAGATCCAGTCTCTGAAGTTTCAATCTGTGCGCTTTCATTTCAGGCGTCAGCATCCTGGGTACCCATCATGCACAGATCTTCCAATAGCCAAGCAAAGCAATAATGTGACCCGCACGCTCTTGTGAAATGCCAATTATACTTGAAATTTTTGAGTGATATGACGATCATCCTGAATCAATCCTTTTGCTTGTGAAACTCGGTGGTTGCTGTCACAGGACATCCAACTCTTTGTCACGCAAGTCAGATGTTCCCACTTCAACATCTTTAAACTTACTTGCCCAACGACTCACAGTACTCACATCAACCCAATCCCCATAAACAGCTTGCATTCTCTGATGAATCTCCTTTGGAGTGACACCTTCTGCTGTCAAGAATTCAATGACTGCACGTTGCTTAAGTCGCATTGACCGACCACCTGCACAGGGTTCCATACTTTACACTTTAACAACACAATCGTTCAATGCTAAGACTTCCCACCAAAATGGAACTGTAGAGGAGAGTCTACTAAACAAGCCAGTACCTGTCGCATACCAGTACTGCCACCTGTTGAGGAGTTACGAAGATGGCGGCATTACTTTTCATTCACCCCTTGTACTATGCAGGGTTCCATACTTCGCACTTTAACAACACAACCGTTCAATGCTAAGATTTCCCACCAAAATGGAACTGTAGAGGAGAGTCTACTGAACAAGCCAGTACCTCTCGCATACCAGTTCTGCCACCTGTTGAGGAGTTACGAAGGTGGAGGCATTACTTTTCATTCAACCCTTGTACTATGCAAGGTTCCATACTTTGCACTTTAACAACACAACCGTTCAATGCTAAGACTTCCCACCAAAATGGAACTGTAGAGGAGAGTCTACTGAACAAGCCAGTACCTGTCGCATACCAGTACTGCCACCTGTTGAGGAGTTACGAAGATGGAGGCATTACTTTTCATTCAACCCTTGTACTATGCAGGGTTCTATACTTCACGCTTTAACAACACAACCGTTCAATGCTAAGACTTCCCACCAAAATGGAACTGTACAGGAGAGTCTACTGAACAAGCCAGTACCTGTCGCATACCAGTACTGCCATCTGTTGAGGAGTTACGAAGATTGAGGCATTACTTTTCATTCAATCCTCGTATTTTTAAATGCGTACTTATCCTTGAAAATGGCAGCTTGGTTATGAAAGGAAACCTCCTTGTAGATACTTACCCGGCGGTTGGTGAAATGGGTGTAGAAATGTTTCACTAAGATTACTTTAATGATGGCAGGGTCCAAAATAGCCATCACTGGCTGGCGGCCATCAAATAGCCTAAGGGCCAAAAGAAAGAAGAAGAAAAGTGTCCTTATTAATTCTTGGTTGAATATATAATGTAACAGTTTGTAGGAAGCATCAAGATTATGATCCCTTATCTTCAGCTTCAGCATGGCCAGTAGTTCTCAGGCTCTGTTTACACAGTTTGCATCCAACAGTGCAACTGCAATGAACCATAGAATGCATTCCAAACTACATTCCAAACTCCTCTGTTGCGCCAACTCCACTGGCTGCCAGTTTGCTACTGGGCACAATTCAAAGTGCTGGCTTTAGCCTATAAGCCCTAAATGGTTCTGGCCCAGTTTACCTGTCCAAACGTATCACTCCTCATGAACCATCTAGGAACTTAAGATTGTCTGGGGAGGCCCTGCTCTTGATCCTGCCTAATCCATGCAGGCATGTCTGGTGGGGATGAGAGACAGGACCTTCTCAGTGGTGGCCCCTCGGCTATGGAACTCTCTCTCTCTCTCTAGGGATATTAGATCGCCTCCTCTTGACTTTCCAAACAAAAGTAAAAAATTGGCTTTTCAAACAAGCTTTTGGAAATGCAGTGTATTAGATAAACTTGAAATTATGAAGAAGGAACATGGAATGGCGAGATGATGCTACTGGAAAATGAGTTTAACAGGATGACACCTGTGCTGGTACGGCTGTACAGGAGCTTCAGCTTCATTTTCTTTCTATTGAGTGTTTGCATATATTCCAAGGTTCCATGCATTTTGCAGTAAAGGTGGCTTCCCTTGGTTTGCAATTATAGGGCCAATGACCTGTCTATCATTGTTAAGTTTTGGTTCCTCCCCTTTTTTTCCAGGGCTCTGGGAGGGAAAGGGAACCATTTTTAGTTCAGTCTTACAGTGGAAAGCTTAGCTACAGGACGTGGATCAGCTTCATCTGTAGATGTTCTGTTGCGCGCTGGGCTTGAAACGAATTGCTTTTAAAACAGAACGTACAGCTTTAGCCCAGCTGGAAGCCAGGGGCCCCGAAGAGAAATTCTTAAGGATTTTCACCATAAACAGTCTTTAGAGGGCTTGTAAAATATAACAAAGTCTTTTATTGGTGAACAATCAACAGAAACTTCTTTTGTCTTCAAAGGGTTAAACAAATGCTTCCAGGCTTTGTGCAACTGGTGGCTTCTGTTACTTTACTCTAAAGGAAAATCCCTTTCCAAACTTCTCCCAGGCTGACTGTGAACCTAAACCTAACTGATGTGAATCCACTACCGGGCTGAACTGCATCTCAAAACCGAGTGGACCTATCAGTAGGTCTGTAGTCACTTAGCTGGAGTTCTTGATGTTTAAAGCTGTTTTTCCCTCCGAAATTCCTCGGGGCTGTAAGACTGTTTCCCTGGGAACCTTTGGGAATCTTTAGATGCTCTTAAGACTGTTCTCCCCCGGGAAGTCTTAAGGGTTGAAGCCTTTGTACAGGAGAAAGTCTGTATACGTCCTGTACATTGACTTTCCTTGCTGAGACTGACTGAAAATGGCTCCCTTCCCTTCTCATTTGTCCTGAACAGGGGGCAGAACCAAACAGAACCTATAAATGCAAACTTTAACAGGAAGCCGCCCTTCTGCAGAGTCCCTGAAACACAGGACTGCAATCAAACATTCAATACAAAGCAAATAAAGTTGGGGCTCCTGGTACAGTTGTACCAGAACAGTAGACAAGCTTCGTTTCTCACAGCATCCGGAGGAAACAGCTCCACATCTTTCGTGGAAAAGATCCAAAAGAACTCCAGCTGGAGAACCTACAAAGCCTTGGCTGGTCGGTCTACTCGGGTAACCAGAAGCAATTGGAGCCGGGAGTAGAGCCCACACCAGCAAACGTAGAAAGTAGATTGCCTGGGAGGCGTTAAAAAGGGTTTTCCTCTTAAAGAAAAGAAACAGTTCACGAAGCCAGTTACCTGTCCATTTGGGCAAGTTAAGAAGCATTTGTTTGACTTGTTGAAGATCTGAGAAGTGTTTGTTTAAATTGTGAAAGATCTAAGCAAGAATAAAGGACTTTATTAAACTTTTCAAGCATCTAAAGACTTTTGTATAGGAAAATCCTTGGGGTCTCTCAGCCAAGGCAACCCGGCTTCCCACTGGGCACAAAGAGCATGTCCTGTTCAAAAGACAATTATTATAGGCCCAGCCTGTGACAGCACAACACTGGTAATTATATGTTTTTAGTGGATTTTATATAGTTTTTATAAAATCATGCTGAATGTTTTTAATTGCATTTTTATTAATGTGTGGCAGCGAATTGTTGCCAATTTGTAACTGAGTTGCCTAGGGATGAGAAAGGCGGGCTAGAAATACCCTAAATAAACAAATAAATAAATAAACTGCAGTGTAAATGAGGTCTCAATCGCTGGTCTTCCAGGTGTTTGAACTTTAGCTCCCAGATTTCAGAGCTGAAGTCCAAAAACCCAGAGGATAAATGTCTGAGAACCAAGGATATAGGAAAGAGCTATGAATAAGTTGAAGTTTTACAGAAGTACAGAAAATCAATAAAGAATATGTCCATTCTTTACATCTAAATAAGTTTGCTTCAAAGTTGGGAAGTATTTATTTATTTATTTACTTACTTACTTCATTTATATACCGCTTTTCTCAGCCCTCGGGCGACTCAAAGCGGTTAACAATAGCAAAAATTAAATGCTTAACATCATAAAAACAGTTAAAAATGAATAAAACAATAACATAATAAACAGTTAATGTGCTGATACGGCTGTACCAGGAGCTCCAACTTTATTTTCTTTCTCTTATGTGTTTGCAGTCATAGGACAGGCCTCCTGTCCATCATAATTAAGCTTTGGTTCCACCCCTTGTTCAGGGCTCTGGGAGGGAAAGGAGCCATTTTTTGGGCAGTCTCACACAAGGAAGCTAAGCTATAGGACGTAGACCAGCTCGTCCCATAGAAAAGCTTATTTTCTCGAGCATCCAGGGAAACAGAGCATCCGGGGAAACAGAAATTCCAGGGAAAAGGTCCCAAGGCTCTGGCTGAGAGCTCACAGCCTCTCGGCCTCACAGCAAACAGAGGGAAAACAGTCCTGAAGTTTTCAAAGAATTCTCTGAGGGAGGACAGCACTACAGATCCACGGAACTCCATCTGAAATATCTACAAGCCTCGGCTGGTAGGTCTACTCGATACCCAGATGCATTTGGAATCGGTAGTAGGACCCACACCGATGAGGCATAGATAGTAAGCAGCCTGGGAGAGGTTAAAAGGGTTTTTCCTACAGAGAAAGTACAGTTAATCAAAGTCAGGTGCCAGTCCATTGAGGACTAAAAAAGTCTTGAAGTGTTGTTTGAACCATTGAAGATTTGTTGTTTGTTCCATAATAAAGACTTTGTTGTATCATTAAAGACTCTAAAGACCATCACTTCAGAGAAATCCCTGACAACCTCTCTTTGAGGTGCCCCTGACTTCCCGCTGGGCTTAAAGTATACGTCCTGTAGAAAAGTACAGCTATTACAGGCCCAGCGCGTGACAGAACAGTTAAACATCAATATAACATCTCATTAGTGTCTCAGTAAAATCCAATCTCATCATCCGTTGTTCCGTATTCCTGTGTTCATTACACCGCCTATTCAAATGCCTGCTCGAACAACCAGGTCTTCACTTTCCTCGGAAATGCCAATAGGGAGGGGGGCGATCTAATTTCTGTGGGAAGGGCATTCCACAGCCGAGGGGCCACCACTGAGAAGACCCTGTCTCCCATCCCCGCCAGGCGTACCTATGATGCAGCCGGGACAGAGAGCAGGGCCTCCCCCGATGATCTTAATGTCCTAACTGGTTCATAGGAGGAGATGCGTTTGTACAGGTAAGTTGGGCCAGAATCATTTAGGGCTTTATAGGCCAATGACAGCACTTTGAATTGGGCCCGGTAGCAGACTGGTAGCCAGTGGAGCTGGCACAACAAAGGAGTTGCATGCTCCCTGGGTGCCGCTCCTGTTAGTATCCTGGCTGCCGAGCATTGGACCGTTTGAAGCTTCCGAGCAGTCTTCAAAGGCAACCCCACATAGAGAGCATTGCAGTAGTCTATACGGGATCTAAACAGAGCGTGGACTACCATGGCCAAGTCAGACTTCCCAAGGTACGGGCGCAACTAGCACACAAGTTTTAACTGTGCAAATGCTCCCCTGGTCACCGCTGAAACCTGGGGTTCCAGGCTCAGCGATGAGTCCAAGATCACACCCAAGTAATGGGCGAGATCCAGGCCCAGCCATGCTTAGAGTAGACCCACACTGAAATCACAAATGAGTCACAATTGACTTGAATCTAACTTGACTAGGAATAAACTTGTGTACAGATTCGGAGTGGTTGGTCCCCTTCGGCCAATCTGGCTTCTTCGGCTTGGTCAGATGGCCGTAACAGCAAGGGCCCAACTGTCATGTTTTGCTTCCAATGGGCCGGATCTAGCCGTATTTTTCAGCTGCAGATCAAAAATGGCTATCCGGCTACCCGCCTGTTTTTGGGAAGTGCGTGAAAATGGATTCGGGGGTCTACCAGAATCCGGTCAACAGAAATGGATCGAGGTTCAGCCAAAGTGCACAAGCCTACCAAGGAATAAGTTCTCTGATAGTTTGGAGCATGATCAAGGAGAGATATCGGGGGGACTTCACAAAATCTGGGATACTGCAGAGGAAACCAAGACTGGCAAACTAATCTGGGGCTGTAGCCACTGTAGCCGACCCTCCATCCCTTTTTGTGGAAGACTCACCCCCAGATTTTACCATACTTCTCATGGGATTGCTGGTCGAAGTTGTTTACTCCCTGCCAAAACAAAAGAGACATCAGAAAAGCAAGGAGAGAAAAGACTCTGCAAGACAAATGTATATTCCATCTCTTTGCAGCCTCCACTGTTCAGCTGCATTTTGCTGATCCTCACATTAATATCCCTGGATACTCACTATTCGGTGTTCGCGAATAGTGCCAATGAAAGGCAAAGGTCTTGGCCCAGGGATCCCCAGCTTCTTAAAAAAATTGTAGGGCCATATCCCGTATCTGGAAAGGCAAAGGGTATGAGAGAGATTAGTACAACACTCAAGCTTAATTGAGAACTGTTTTGGCACTTGGAACTCCATTTGTAGCAAAAGGGATGGAAATGGGAGAAGGAGAGAGCAACGAGGACATTGAAAAACTGGGATAACTGTAGATTATTTGGAACTGTCATCGCAAAATTGGTGAAGTTGATAGGAACTTTAGAAGGGTCTACCCCAGGAGCAGAGACCCTGCGGCCCCACCAAAGAGGGATCGCTACATTGGTGAGCAAAGAGAAGCCTAATTTTAAGCAATTTATTTTCCCTAAGTTCTCAAAAAGAATCTCATCAAAGTTGGAGAAAGTGCCACCGAGGTTTATTAGCGATTCAACTGAAAAGGATGCAAAGCTGCGATCAGTCGTCAAGCAGAGAATGTGGTTACAGAAATAAAGGCCATTTTTATAGAAAATACAGAGTTGTGAGTTTCAAAATTCCCACTCCCCCCTCTCGCCCAGCTTGAAGGGGATTGGCTGATGCGCAAACAGCTGGGAGGAGGCTTGGCCGTCCCCCATGCATCAGGGCCAACCACAGGGCTTTTGCGGTGTGCCAGAGCCAATCAGGAGGCTCCTGCTGCCTCGACGCTCCAGCAAATCAGAAGGGAGGCAGGCGGGACGAAGGGAGACAATGCATTCTTGAGTGGATTATGGAGTTGTCATGTCCTGAAGCTTATCGAGTCCGGATCCAGCCTGCCACAGAAGCTAACTTTATTGTCTTGAGAGGGGTCTGCGATAAGTCAAATACTTTTGTGGCATGATTTTCAGTAATAAATTGGTTACTTTCTGCTATAAACATATGAAAATAGGGCATAAAGCCTCGATTAAAATGATACACGCCAAATTGACCAAGGCTTAACCCTTATTATCCAGCCTGGTGTCCTTGCCCTTAGCAAAACTGTAAGTTACTATCTCTTATGGGGGGCGGGTTATGTTCGACTTCATTGGGACAGTTGCAATACTGTGCATCGTTACTCATATGACAACTTGTTTTAGCGAAAAGGGAATGAGAGAAAAGAGTGGGTTAGAAGTGGAAGGTGCCCATAAAAATCCCATGCCATGGAAGATCCTATTAAAGCAGCCACAGGACTTCGGCAGAAGGAAACTCAGCATGGTTTGGGTTGTTGTGAGTTTTCCAGGCTTTATGGCCATGTTCCAGAAGCATTCCCTCCTGACACTTCGCCTGTTGTGAGGTCTGTTGGAAACTAGAAAAAATGGGTTTATATATCTGTGGAATGTCCAGGGTGGAGAAAAAAACTCTCGTCTTTTTTAGGTAAGTGTGAATGTTTCAATTGGCCAACTAGATTAGCATCGAATGGCCAAGCAGTTTCAAGGTGTGGCTTCTTACTGCCTGGGGGAATCCTTTGTTGGGAGGTGGCCCTGATTAGCTGGTGATTGAAATCCACAACCATGTGGACAATTTCAACAGAAAGGGGAAAAAACATGAAAATGAACAAAATCTGGCTACCAGTATTAAAAAAAACCCTCTAAAATCATAACAGTAAATAAATAACAATACTCAAAAACAGGGGAATTCCAGACAAGAAACAATCAGGGTCAGCTAATCCCCTCCCAACAAAGAAAAAACGAAATGCAAAGATACAGAATGGGGGACAATGCCTGGCTCGAGAGCAGTACGTGTGAAAAAGATCTTGGAGTCCTCGTGGACCACAAGTTAAACATGAGCCAACAATGTGATGTGGCGGCAAAAAAAGCCAATGGGATTTTGGCCTGCATCAATAGGAGCATAGTGTCTAGATCTAGGGAAGTAATGCTACCCCTCTATTCTGCTTTGGTTAGACCACACTGGAATATTGTGTCCAATTCTGGGCACCACAATTCAAGAGAGATATTGACAAGCTGGAATGTGTCCAGAGGAGGGCGACTAAAATGATCAAGGGTCTGGAGAACAAGCCCTATGAGGAGCGGCTTAAGGAACTGGGCATGTTTAGGCCTGAAGAAGAGAAGGCTGAGAGGAGATATGATAGCCATGTATAAATATGTGAGAGGAAGCCACAGGGAGGAGGGAGCAAGCTTGTTTTCTGCTTCCCTTGAGACTAGGACGCGGAACAATGGCTTCAATGTACACCATGATTCTTTCATTGAATCAAAGGAAGAACTTCCTGACTGTGAGAGCCGTTCAGCAGTGGAACTCTCTGCCCCGGAGTGTGGTGGAGGCTCCTTCTTTGGAAGCTTTTAAACAGAGGCTGGATGGCCATCTGTCGGGTGATTTGAATGCAATATTCCTGCTTCTTGGCAGAATGGGGTTGGACTGGATGGCCCATGAGGTCTCTTCCAACACTTTGATTCTATGATTCTTTGAAAGGATTCCTCCAGCAGTAAGAAGCCAGACCTTGAAACTGCTAAGCCATTCAATGCTATTCAAGGTGGCGAACTGCAACTTTCACACTTGCCTCAAACAGATAAGAGGTCTTTCTCCCACTCTGGACAACATTCCATGGATATATAAGAGAAATGTCAGGAGAGAATGCTTCTGGAACATGGCCAGACAGCCCAAAAAACTCACAACTCGGTGATTCCAGCCACAAAGCCTTCGACAATACATCAGCATGGTTTTTCTGTTGACCTTCTGTGTCTTATAAACATTTTAATATTTGGATCTATTTGCAGCAGATGCTGGTCCTTCTCGGATGTATAAGCAACAGTCAAAATGATTATCTCAGGGTCCTTCCCTCCATAAAAACATTGCTTCCTCCAATGTCCACCCCAGACATACTTACAGCATGAACAGGGCCACAAGGACACCAATGAGGAGCCACTTTTCAGACAAATAGCTGAGGAAGAAGTCCATCTTGTGTCGCGCTCTGTGGAAACTTTCCTTCTCTCTCCACCGCCTTTCTCGGCCTTTCTATTTTTAATGTTATTTAGCAATCTGAGATGAACTTTGCTTGAATGGCAGCCACTCCTTTGGAAATCACGTGGAGCAGACTGGAGGGCTTTGTTTGACTTTTTTTCCCTAATATTAACAGGAGCTGGCAAATGACAGCAGGGCGAAGCTTGGAAGCAGGGTTGGCGGCACTTTCGTTTTTACACTGGGACATTGTGCTTGGGAATAAACAAACAAACAAACACACACTCTCACACAGAGAACAGCTCTTGGCTTTACTTTACTGTGTGCAAGAGAGCTGCAAAGCAGGGATTCTATAAACTGGAGCTCTAAGAAGTAACTTTTTCAAGGCCTGGGAATTCATAAGGAACAGATCCAGTATTAAGTTCTTGTGGGTTTTTTCGGGCTATATGGCCATGTTCTAGAGGCATTTCTCCTGACGTTTCGCCTGCATCTATGGCAAGCTTCCTCAGAGGTAGTGAGGTCTGTTGGAACTGGGAAAAAGGGTTTATATATCTGTGGAATGACCAGGGTGGGACAAAGACTCTTGTCAGTTGGGCTAGGTGTGAATATTTCAACTGACCACCTTGATTAGCATACAATGGGCTGACTGTGCCTGGAGCAAACTCTTCTTGAAAGGTAATTAGATGTCCCTGCCTGTTTCCTCTCTGCTGTTTTTGCTGTTGCAATTTTAGAATTTTTTAATACTGGTAGCCAGATTTTGTTCATTTTCATGGTTTCTTCCTTTCTGTTGAAATTGTCCACATGCTTGTGGATTTCAATGGCTTCTCTGTGTAGTCTGACATGGTGGTTGTGAGAGTGGTCCAGCATTTCTGTGTTCTCAAATAATCTGCTGTGTCCAGGCTGGTTCATCAGGTATTCTGCTATGGCTGACTTCATATTCATATATGGACACAGCAGATTATTTGAGAACACAGAAATGCTGGACCACTCCAACAACCACCATGTCAGACTACACAGAGAAGCCATTGAAATCCACAAGAAGCATGTGGACAATTTCAACAGAAAGGAAGAGACCATGAAAATGAACAAAATCTGGCTACCAGTATTAAAAAACTCTAAAATTACAACAGCAAAACAGCAGAGAGGAAACAACCAGGCACATCTTAACACCTCTCAACAAAAGATTTTCCCAGGCTCAGCCAGGCCTTCAAATGCTAATGAAGGTGGTCAGTTGAAACATTCACACCTAGCTCCAGCAGAAGAGCTCTTTGCCCCACCCCAGCCATTCCACAGATATATAAACCCATTGTCCTATTTCCAACAGACCTCACTACCTCTGAGGATGCTTGCCATAGATGCAGGCGAAACGTCAGGAGAAATGCCTCTAGAACATGGCCCTATAGCCCGAAAAAACCTACAAGAACCTAGATCCAGTATTGTTTCTCAACCTGGGGGGAGGGATCGTGAGGGAGTTTCAGAGGGGTCGTGTGCCGTCACACCCAGGCGCCTTCAAAAATAAAACTGAGATGTGCCGCTCTCTTTGACTGGGTGGACTGCAGGGATCTTACTTTAGTGTTTCTCAACCTTCCTAATGCCGTGACCCCTTAATACAGTTCCTCATGTTGTGATGACCCCCAACCATGAAATTATTTTCATTGCTACTTCATAACTGTCATTTTACTACTTTTATGAATATGATATCCAGGATGTATTTTCATTCACTGGACCAAATTTTGCACAAATACCCGATACGCCCAAATTTGAATACTGATGGTTTGGGGTTGGTGGTGTTGATTTTGTCATTTGGGAGTTTTAGTTGCTGGGATTCATAGTTCACCCACAATCAAAGAGCATTCTGAACTCCACCAACAATGGGATTGAACCAAACTTGGCACACAGAACTCTCATGACCAACAGAAAATATTGGAAGGGTTTGGTGGGCACTGACCTTGAGTTTTGGAGTTGTAGTTCACCTACACCCTGAGAGCACTGTGGACTCAAACAATGATGGATCTGGACCAAACTTGGCACGGATACTCAATATGCCCAAATGTGAACACTGGTGGAGTTTTGGAGAAATAGACCTTGACATTTGGGAGTTGTAGTTGCTGGGATGTATAGTTCACCTACAATCAAAGAGCATTCTGAACCATACCAATGAATTGGGCCAAACGTCCCGCACAGAACCCTCATGACCAACAGAAAATACTGTGTTTTCTGATGGACTTTGGCGACCCCTCCAGGGGTCCCGACCCCCATGTTGAGAAACACTGCTTTAGAGGCTCAAACTTTCTGAGTAACTGAGTCTACCGCAGGTATGGAACAGCAAACGGAGTATTTATTTACAAAGTCCTTGTAGACTAGGCACAGCTTATCAACGTTGGAAACGGGCAGTTGGTAAAGCATAGAGATGAGCTTTCTTGCATTCAAATATTGAGGTAATCTTTCTCCAAAAGGTTTAAAAAAGGAGAATTCTGGAATCCCTTTAACTCTAACTCTGAGCCCCTATGGTTAGAAAAAGGCAGGTCCTTTTTCCCTATCTATAGTTCAGAGTTAGCCTTGGAGGCAAATGCTCAATACTATCTATCTAACTCAGTAGTTCTTTCTCAATAAACTCAATATTCAATACTTTCTCAATAGCTTCTCTATTGATCTATCTATCTATAATTTCCCTATAAACTCAATTTATCTTTCTAACTCAATTTAATTTAGGCGAAACGTCAGGAGAAATGCCTCTAGAACATGGCCCTATAGCCCGAAAAAACCCACAAGAACCTAGTGATTCCAGCCATGAAAGCCTTTGACAATAAATTTAATTTAGTACTTGCAATGGTTTTCTCAGAGCTATCCTGATTTGGCCACAGCACATCTGAATTCTTCCTCTAGATTGAAGAGGCAGGGGAAACTCCAAAATGGAGATTCCCTCCCTGGGAGAAAGGGCGGGCTCAAAGAGCTGCTCTCTAGGCCAATAGCTGCAAAGAGTCTGCAGATTGGTTTTCCTGTCTTTGAAACTGCTAGCCTTTTAGGGCTTGCAACGCTGCAGCAGCTCTGAGATGAATGCAAGGGGAAGACACTCTAAGCAACTAAAAAGGTAAAGTAAACCAGGCTCCTGGGAGACGGAACAGGTCACCAAAGACCACCAGAAAATATTTTTTCTGATGGTTTTAGGAGCCCCTTTGGCAGAGAAGGCTGAAGATTTCTCCGCCTGTCCTTCTCTTCCTTTTTGGAAACAGACACCAAATCCTCCCACCAAAAGCTCTCCTGCACTGTGAATGGCCGACCTCTCAGCCATGGGGAGGGCTGTTTCTGAGACTCCAAGTGGGGAGGGGAGAGCAGGCATGCTCGGTGCATAGTGAGCATGTGCGGGAGAGGGAGAGCGTGCAAGGCTGGGGTTCTGTGTGGGAAGTCTAGCCCAATTCCATGCTTGATGGGGTTCAACCCATTATGCAAAGTACGCATTTGCAGTATAGCTGATTTTGCCCAGGGCAGGCCCATAGCCAGGATTTCGTTTCGGGGGGGGGGCTAAAAAATTTCAGGGGTTTCGGGGAGGCTGAGTTTCGGGGGGGGGGGCTGAGTCTGAGTGAAAGAGGGTCTAGCCTAGCAAACCTTTTGTATCATTACCCCAATACCCCCATGCATATGGGATATATTGAGTATGGTGATCAGATCATGATATGAACAAACATAACAGTTTAAATAATGCACCAGTAAGGCCTTTTCGCGAACCACCATGAGAATTTCAGGGGGGGGGGGGGCTGAAGCCCCTCAAGCCCCCCCCCCCCTGGCTACATGCCTTGCCCAGGGGTGCTTTTGAGGCACTCTTGGGGGAAATAGACCTTGACATATGCGAGTTGTAGTTACTGGGATGTATAGTTCACCTACAATCAAAGAGCATTCTGAACTCCACCAATGATGGAATTGAACCAAATATGGCACACAGAACTCCCACGACGAACAGAAAATATATATCAGTGATTGGTGGTGGGGGCACCAAAATACTGTTTGCTTACCATTGAAAATTACCTAGGGCCACCTCTGTTCACAATGCTCTTTGGTTGTAGATGAACTATAAATCACAATAACTACAACTCCCAAATGTCAAGGTTTATTTTCCTCAAACTCCACCAGTGTTCACATTTGGGCATATTGAGGATTCGTGCCAAGTTTGGTCCAGAGCCATCATTGTTTGAGTCCACAGTGCTCTCTGGATGTAGGTGAACTACAACTCCAAAACTCAAGGTCAATGCCCACCAAACCCTTCCAGGATTTCCTCTTGGTCATGGGAGCTGCAAGGCCATTCAGTGCTAATCAGGGAGGCCAATTGCAACATTCCCACTTGCCTCCAAAAGGCAAGAGTTCTTTCTCCCACACTGGACATCATTTTATAGATATGCTAGCTGTCCCTGCCACATGTTGCTGTGGCCTAGTCTGTTGTTATGGAAAATAAAGTAATGAGAAAGTGTTGGTTTCTAATATATGTAATGTCTTGATGCTTGTGGGTAAACAGTATTTCTTGCTGTTTCTTTACCAGTGTTGATGTGGAGAGTGTCTGGTTTGCCTATGGCTGGATGGCTCTTTGTCAAGAGGGCTTTGATTATGTTTTCTTGCCCTAGTGAAGGGAGCTGGACTGAATGGCCTTAAGTATTTTCTGTTGGTCATGGAGGTTTTGTGTGGGAAGTTTGGCCCAATTCTGTCATTGGTGGGGTTCAGAACACTCTTTGATTGTAGGTGAACTATAAATCCCAGTAACTACAACTCCCAAATGTCAAGGTCTATTTCCCTCAAACTCCATCTGTGTTCATATTTGGGCATGTGGAATATTCTTGCCAAGTTTGGTCCAGATCCATCGTTGTTTGAGTCCATGGTAGTCTCTGGATGTAGGTGAATTACAACTCCCAAACTCAAGGTCAATGCCCACCAAACCCTTCTAGTGTTTTCTGTTGGTCATGGGAGTCCTGTATGCCCCAGTTGGTTCAATTCTATCCTGCTAGTTGATTGTAGGTGAACTATAAATCCCAGCAACTACAACTCTCAAATGACAAAACCATAATTTTTTGAGTGATGATCGCTCCTTGTGTTGTGAGATGTTTTGTTGCCAAATTTGGTGTGATTTCGTCCATTGGTTCTAAGGCACTCATTATGCACAGAGCATTTTTATATATAGAGATAAACCCCACTTGCCTAGTTTCCAACAGAACTCACAACCTCTGAAAATACCTGCCATAAATGTGGGCAAAACATCAGGAGAAAATGCTTCTGGAACATGGCCAGACAGCCCGGAAAATTCACAGCAACCCAATCTGGATTTTATTAGTGGATTTTAATTTGCATTTTGACTCTGTATATCTTGTATGGTTTTTAAAATATTGCTTTATCTCTTGTTTTAATTATCTATCCCACCTCGAGCTACAAAGAGAGGCAGGCAATACATTCAAAAAAGAAAAAAAAAGAAGACACAAAGGGCCAGATTTGGCCCACAGGCCTTGAGTTTGACACATGTATCTGAAACTAAATTTAAGGTGCATTGTTTTCATTTCATCCAATAATATCCGTGTGTACATTAGGAGGAGAAGGTCATTTTCAAAAAGAAGCGTAATAAAACATTATTTTTCTCTCTTCGTGATACAATTTAATTAAAAAGACAGACATGTACTTATTGGCATTCTTGCTTGAATATTGATCCCACACGAGCTTAATCTGAAGGAAATAAGCCTGCTATTCCACCCAGGGGTATCTGGATATAGGAGCTCTTCAACTCAGTAGGGCTTATCTGTAAGGAGTAGACTTGTGTGCATATTTGGATTGCTTGGTTCCCTCCGGCTAAGCTGGACTGTTCAGCTTGGTCCGGTAGCCAACCGCCATGCTTTTTTTTTTGCCCGAATTGTGGCTACTTCCTCTCCCATTTGGCTAGAAGGAATGGGGATACCAAATCACCTTGTTTGTCTCCTGAATAGCGACCAAGTAGCAACAGTAAGAACTGACCACGGAACAACAGACTGGTTCAAGATTGGGAAAGGCGCATGTCAGGGTTGTATCCTCTCACCCAACCTATTCAACTTGTATGCAGAACACATCATGCGATGTGCAGGGTTTGACGAATCCAAGATTGGAGTAGAAATTGCTGGAAGAAACATTAACAGCCTTATATATGCAGATGATACCACTTTGATGGCCAAAAGCAAGGAGGAGCTGAGGAGTCTTCTAACCAAGGTGAAAGAAGAAAGCGCAAAAGCTGGGTTGCAATTAAACGTCCAAAAACCCAGATTATATCAACAAGACTGATTGATAACCAGCAAACAAAGGGAGATAATCCGGCCCTCCAACAGTTTGAGGGACTGTGACCTGGCCCTCTGTTTAAAAAGTTTGTGGATCCCTGATCTAGTTGCTTTTTCAGCGGCGAACCAAAAACAGCGGATTGGCAGTGAGCCCGTTTTTAGGAGCCTCGCAAAAATGGATATGGGGGGAGGGGGGGGGCTCCTGAAATTCAGCCAGCAGAAATAGATTGAGGTTCAACCAAAATGCATCTGCTTAGTAAGTAGATGTGTGTAGGATTGAATTGTAAGACTGTGCTTGTGTACAAGTTGAAATATTTTTAACAACAATGGACCCTCCAAACCTCGTAGTTCTCTAATTTTCTTATCCATGGGCTAGCTGTATCCATCACGAGTTGCTGTGGCCAACCTTCCCTCCCTCTTTATCTCCTCCTTTCTTTTTCTCCTTCCTTCCTTCCTTCCTTCCTTCCTTCCTTCCTTCCTTCCTTCCTTCCTTCTTTCCTTCCTTCCATTTTTTCTTTCATTCTCTCCTCCCACCCTTCCTTCTTTCCTTTCTTCCTTCTCTTCCTTTTCCCTCCTTCCCTTTTTTCTTTACATCTCTCCTTCCTTCCTTCCTTCCTTCCTTCCTTCCTTCCTTCCTTCCTTCCTTCCTTCCTTCCTTCTTTTCTCTCCTTCCTCCTTCCTTCCTCCTTCCTTCCTTCCTTCTCTTCCTTCCTTCCTTCTTTCTTTCTCTCCTTCCTTCCTCCTTCCTTCCTTCCTCCTCTACCTCCTTTCCTTCCTTCCTTCTTCCTTCTCTTCCTTCCCTTCCTTCTTCCTTTTTTTCTTCCTTCCCTTCCCTTCCTTCCTTCCTCCTTCCTTCCTTCTCTCTCTTCCCTTTTCTCCCTCCTCCTTTCTTTCCCTTCTCTCTTTCTCCCCTTTCTTCCTTCTCTACCTTTTCTTGGACTGCAACTCCCAGCAGTCTACCTATCTTTCTCTATCTAGATAAGACAATCTTATTTATCTGGAGGATTGCTGAGAGTTGCAGTCCAGGAATAGGAAATTGGAAATATCCAGGGATTGGGAGGCTCTCAAAGAAAGTCAAGGAGAAGAAAGCTTTGCATCTTGGAAGCAGTGCATTTGGATCATCCTCTTCTCTTAAAGGGCCTGGTCTAGGGGATGCTGGGAGCTGTAGTCCAGAAGAAAGTGTGGATATGCTATTGTGTGTTTTGTTTGCCAGGGGGAGTCATTTTGCACCTGTATTGTAGCTTTTTGTTTTTTGGCTTTTTAAGTCCCTTCCTGTGTTTTTCAGTGTTTTTATGAGTGATGGTCACTTGTTGGCCTGATACGTGTATGTTGTCCAAAAGTGGTCCATGCCTTAGTCACCTCTAGACTAGATTACTGCAATGCACTCTACATGGGGCCGCCCTTGAAAACGGCCCGGAAATTTCAGATGATCCAACGGGCGGCAGCCAGGTTGTTAACTGGGGCTCCTTACAGGGAGCGTCATCCCTCCTGTTCAAGGAGCTCCACTGGCTGCCATTCATCTACCGGACCCAATTCAAGGTGCAGGTTCTTACCTACAAAGCCCTGAACGGTTTGGGACCCGCCTACCTGCGTGACCGCATCTCTGTATACGAACCCACACGATCTCTTCGATCATCTGGAGAGGCCCTGCTCTCGATCCCACCAGCATCGCAGGCGCGATTGGTGGGGATGAGAGAGAGGGCCTTTTCAGTGGTGGCCCCTCAACTCTTGAACTCACTCCCTAAAGACATCAGACAGGCCCCAACTCTGGCAGTCTTTAGGAGGAGCTTGAAGACGTGGTTGTTCCAGTGTGCCTTCCAGAATAATGATCCCATAGCACTTTGTCCTCCAAAGCACTTTACATTTTTAGGTCTGCTCGTATGCCCTTCCACAAACGCAGTATCACCTTTAGTTCATGTCCCACCATTATTTCCAATTTTACATATGGCCTTCTCACTGTTTTTAATTATGTGTTGTCTTATTGATAATGTTGTGTATTTTATTGTTTATGTTTTTAATTGCTTCTATTGTTGTTATTATTGCTTGTATTGTTGTGTTTGGGCTCGGCCTCATGTAAGCCGCACCGAGTCCTTTGGGGAGATGGTAGCGGGGTACAAATAAAGTGTTATTATTATTATTTGTGTCAATTCGTCCAGTGGTTTTTGAGTTATGTTAATCCCACAGAAGCTCTCCGAAGCTCTAGGTGCTCTTACTGCCTATTACAGGGAAAACCAGCTGATCCCTAATCCATCTAAAACACAGACATGCGCCTTTCACCTTAAGAACAGACAAGCATCCCGAGCTCTGAGGATTACCTGGGAAGGAATCCCACTGGAGCATTGCAGCGCACCCAAATACCTGGGAGTCACTTTGGACCGTGCTCTGACCTACAAGAAGCACTGCCTGAACATCAAGCAAAAAGTGGGCGCTAGAAACAACATCATACGAAAGCTGACTGGCACAACCTGGGGATCACAACCAGACACAGTGAAGACATCTGCCCTTGCACTATGCTACTCTGCTGCTGAGTATGCATGCCCAGTGTGGAACACATCTCACCACTAAAACAGTAGATGTGGCTCTTAATGAGACATGCCGCATTATCACGGGGTGTCTGCGCCCTACACCACTGGAGAAATTACACTGCTTAGCCGGTATTGCACCACCTGACATCCGACGGGAAGTAGCAGCCAATAGTGAAAGGACCAAGGCAGAGACATCTCCAGCTCATCCCCTGTTTGGGTATCAGCCAGCACGTCAACGACTTAAATCAAGACATAGTTTTCTTAGATCTACAGAGACACTTGCTGGAACACCCCAGCAAGCAAGAGTCCAAAAGTGGCAGGCCCAAACCCAGCACCTCAATCCATGGGTGATACCAGATGAGAGACTCCCCCCTGGGCACTCAGAAGACTGGGCGACTTGGAAGGCGCTGAACAGACTGCGCTCTGGCACCACGAGATGCAGAGCCAATCTTAAGAAATGGGGCTACAGGGTGGAATCCTCGGCATGCGAGTGTGGAGAAGAGCAAACCACTGACCACCTGCTGCAATGCAACCTGAGCCCTGCCACATGCACAATGGAGGACCTTCTTGCGGCAACACCAGAGGCACTCCAAGTGGCCAGATACTGGTCAAAGGACATTTAACCAACTACCAAGTTTGCAAAATCTGTGTTTTTTTTTCTTTTCTTTTTAATCTGTGTGTTTGTTTTGTTCTGTTAGAAATGTAATACAATGGTATGGTTGCTGATGACACGATAAATAATAAAATATCCCACAAACTAACATTACATTTTTATTTATATAGATTATATCAAAATCTTTAAGCAGGGGTCAGATGGGCCGCAAAGGAGTGTATTATGAACACAGAAGGCGACCTGAGGTGCAACAACACACAAAAGACAAGAAGGGAAGGAGGCAGGTGAGGGGAGGAGACAAAAAGCTGCAAGCCTTCTATACGTTCTCTCCATTGAAGTCAGTGAATGGATCCATTCATACACGTTCTTTCCCCAATACAATCGTCAATCGGCTCATTTCATTTTCCATGTGACGCAGACGAGAGGAGGGTCTCAACAACTCTTGGATATATTGATTTTCATTCCTTGGACTCAGCCGTAACTCTGGGAACGAACTTCAGTCGGATGGGTTTTTTCGGTGCCATGAAACCCTGGCTCTGCAGTTCCAAAGGGATCTTCGCCAAAAGGAGAAAAGATAAGGGAAGAGAAAGAAATAAGAAATAGTGAGTACATCGCTTAGACTCCAGCCACATTGATTTGGATGGATCAAGTCTGTGCAGAGCTGTCCAGCAGCTGAACATACTAGAGAGGTTGCGGGGAGAATTCACCATAATTTATAGGAGCTGTAGGTCCCGGGATGTATAGTTCAACTGCAATCTAAAGCACTCTGAATTCCACCAATGATGGAACTGGAACTCACTTGGCACACAGAACCCCCAAGACCAACAAAAATACTGGAGGGATTTATTGGAGTAATAGTTCACCTATACCCAGAGCTCACTATGAACCCAAACAATGATGGACCCCAACCAAACGTGGCATGCGTACGCAATATGCCTAAATTTGAATACTGGTGTGTTTTGAGGGGAATTTTCCTGGACATTTTGGAATTGTAGGTACTGGGATTTATAGTTCACCTGCAATCAAGGAGCACTGTGAACTCCACCATAGATGGAATTGGACCAAACTTGGCATGCATACCTGATATACCCAAATGTCAATACTGGTGTTGAAGGGAAATGGCCTGGACATTATGGAGTTGTAGGTACTGGGATTTATAGTTCACCTGCATTCAAGGAGCACTCTGAACTCCATCATAGATGGAACTGGACCAAACTTGGCATGCATACCCGATATACCTAAATGTGAATACTAGTGTTGAGGGGAATTGGCCTGGACGTTATGGAGTTGTACGTACTGGGATTTATAGTTCACCTGCAATCAAGGAGCACTCTGAACTCCATCATAGATGGAATTGGACCAAACTTGGCATGCATACATGATATACCCAAATGTAAATACTGGTGTTGAGGGGAAAAAGCCTAGACATTATGGAGCTGTAGGTACTGGGATTTATAGTTCACCTGCAATCAAGGAGCACTCTGAACTCCATCACAGATGGAACTGGACCAAACTTGGCATGCATACATGATATACCTAAATGTAAATACTGGTGTTGAGGGGAAATGGCCTGGACATTTTGGAGGTACTGGGATTTATAGTTCACCTGCAATCAAAGAGCACTCTGAACTCCACCATAGATAGAATTGGACCAAACTTGGCATGCATACCTGATATACCCAAATGTAAATACTGGTGTTGAGGGGAATTGGCTTGGACATTATGGAGATGTAGGTACTGGGATTTATAGTTCACCTGCAATCAAGGAGCACTCTGAACTCCATCATAGATGGAATTGGACCAAACTTGGCATGCATACCTGATATACCCAAATGTAAATACTAGTGTTGAGGGGAATTGGCCTGGACATTATGGAGTTTTAGGTACTGGGATTTATAGTTCACCTGCAATCAAGGAGCACTCTGAACTCCACCATAGATGGAATTGGACCAAACTTGGCATGCATACCTGATATACCCAAATGTAAATACTGGTGTTGAGGGGAATTGGCTTGGACATTATGGAGATGTAGGTACTGGGATTTATAGTTCACCTGCAATCAAGGAGCACTCTGAACTCCACCATAGATGGAATTGGACCAAACTTGGCATGCATACCTGATATACCCAAATGTAAATACTGGTGTTGAGGGGAATTGGCTTGGACATTATGGAGATGTAGGTACTGGGATTTATAGTTCACCTGCAATCAAGGAGCACTCTGAACTCCACCATAGATGGAATTGGACCAAACTTGGCATGCATACCTGATATACCCAAATGTAAATACTGGTGTTGAGGGGAATTGGCTTGGACATTATGGAGATGTAGGTACTGGGATTTATAGTTCACCTGCAATCAAGGAGCACTCTGAACTCCATCATAGATGGAATTGGACCAAACTTGGCATGCATACCTGATATACCCAAATGTAAATACTAGTGTTGAGGGGAATTGGCCTGGACATTATGGAGTTTTAGGTACTGGGATTTATAGTTCACCTGCAATCAAGGAGCACTCTGAACTCCACCATAGATGGAATTGGACCAAACTTGGCATGCATACCTGATATACCCAAATGTAAATACTGGTGTTGAGGGGAATTGGCTTGGACATTATGGAGATGTAGGTACTGGGATTTATAGTTCACCTGCAATCAAGGAGCACTCTGAACTCCACCATAGATAGAATTGGACCAAACTTGGCATGCATACCTGATATACCCAAATGTAAATACTAGTGTTGAGGGGAATTGGCCTGGACATTATGGAGTTTTAGGTACTGGGATTTATAGTTCACCTGCAATCAAGGAGCACTCTGAACTCCACCATAGATGGAATTGGACCAAACTTGGCATGCATACCTGATATACCCAAATGTAAATAATAGTGTTGAGGGGAATTGGCCTGGACATTATGGAGTTTTAGGTACTGGGATTTATAGTTCACCTGCAATCAAGGAGCACTCTGAACTCCACCATAGATAGAATTGGACCAAACTTGGCATGCATACCTGATATACCCAAATGTAAATACTGGTGTTGAGGGGAAATGGCTTGGACATTTTGTAGGTACTGGGATTTATAGTTCACCTGCAATCAAAGAGCACTCTGAACTCCACCATAGATAGAATTGGACCAAACTTGGCATGCATACCTGATATACCCAAATGTAAATACTGGTGTTGAGGGGAATTGGCTTGGACATTATGGAGATGTAGGTACTGGGATTTATAGTTCACCTGCAATCAAGGAGCACTCTGAACTCCATCATAGATGGAATTGGACCAAACTTGGCATGCATACCTGATATACCCAAATGTAAATACTAGTGTTGAGGGGAATTGGCCTGGACATTATGGAGTTTTAGGTACTGGGATTTATAGTTCACCTGCAATCAAGGAGCACTCTGAACTCCACCATAGATGGAATTGGACCAAACTTGGCATGCATACCTGATATACCCAAATGTAAATACTGGTGTTGAGGGGAATTGGCTTGGACATTATGGAGATGTAGGTACTGGGATTTATAGTTCACCTGCAATCAAGGAGCACTCTGAACTCCATCATAGATGGAATTGGACCAAACTTGGCATGCATACCTGATATACCCAAATGTAAATACTAGTGTTGAGGGGAATTGGCCTGGACATTATGGAGTTTTAGGTACTGGGATTTATAGTTCACCTGCAATCAAGGAGCACTCTGAACTCCACCATAGATGGAATTGGACCAAACTTGGCATGCATACCTGATATACCCAAATGTAAATACTGGTGTTGAGGGGAATTGGCCTGGACATTATGGAGTTTTAGGTACTGGGATTTATAGTTCACCTGCAATCAAGGAGCACTCTGAACTCCACCATAGATGGAATTGGACCAAACTTGGCATGCATACCTGATATACCCAAATGTAAATACTGGTGTTGAGGGGAATTGGCTTGGACATTATGGAGATGTAGGTACTGGGATTTATAGTTCACCTGCAATCAAGGAGCACTCTGAACTCCACCATAGATAGAATTGGACCAAACTTGGCATGCATACCTGATATACCCAAATGTAAATACTGGTGTTGAGGGGAAATGGCCTGGACATTTTGGAGTTGTTGGTACTGGGATTTATAGTTCACCTGCAATCAAGGAGCACTCTGAACTCCATCATAGATGGAATTGGACCAAACTTGGCATGCATACCTGATATACCCAAATGTAAATACTGGTGTTGAGGGGAAATGGCCTGGACATTTTGTAGGTACTGGGATTTATAGTTCACCTGCAATCAAGGAGCACTCTGAACTCCACCATAGATAGAATTGGACCAAACTTGGCATGCATACCTGATATACCCAAATGTAAATACTGGTGTTGAGGGGAATTGGCTTGGACATTATGGAGATGTAGGTACTGGGATTTATAGTTCACCTGCAATCAAGGAGCACTCTGAACTCCATCATAGATGGAATTGGACCAAACTTGGCATGCATACCTGATATACCCAAATGTAAATACTAGTGTTGAGGGGAATTGGCCTGGACATTATGGAGTTTTAGGTACTGGGATTTATAGTTCACCTGCAATCAAGGAGCACTCTGAACTCCACCATAGATGGAATTGGACCAAACTTGGCATGCATACCTGATATACCCAAATGTAAATACTGGTGTTGAGGGGAATTGGCTTGGACATTATGGAGATGTAGGTACTGGGATTTATAGTTCACCTGCAATCAAGGAGCACTCTGAACTCCACCATAGATGGAACTGGACCAAACTTGGCATGCACTTTCTGGGCCTGCATGCCACACACACACACACACACACACAAACACACACTTTCCAAGGCAAGGAGGCTGCTCATGAAAAGTAGGCGAGGAGCTTGCTTTCACATTGAGCTGATTTTTGTACTGGGAGGGGGCTTCCCGTTACGTGATACCGAAGATAATGAAAGTAACAAAAGAACAGATATAATGAAGGAAAATGGACCCATGCACAACTCTAATTGTTATTATTATTGTTATTATTTATTTATTTATGACAATTATATGCCACCCTTCTCACCCCAAAGGGGACTCATAGCAGCTTACAAGATATATATACATACAATATATTATATTATTAGCATAGTACAATATCAGTATTATATATTACTATATTGTACTATACCATCATATTGTAATTTTATTAGTAATATTACATGTAATATAAAATATAATATCATATGATCATTATTATATTGTATTACATTATAATATTATAAATATTACATGTATATACAATATATTACATTACATTATATATTATATTATTATATTATATTATATTATTGTTATTGTTATTGTTGTTGTTATTTGAAACACAACAAGATGAATCCACAGCAGACACTCTGTTGGTTGTTATATTGGTTGTTATATTATATTATATTATTGTTATTGTTGTTGTTGTTGTTATTTGAAACACAACAAGATGAGTCCACAGCAGACACTCTGTTGGCTGTTATATTGGATCACGTGTTGGACACTTCCCAAGTTTCTAATACTGTGTGATCTATGGGTTGCCTTTTGCAGCTGGCAGATGGTAATTTTGTCAGCGCCAATTGTGTTTAAGTGCAGGCCAAGGTCTTTAGGCGCTGCACCCAGTGTGCCGATCACCACTGGGACTGCCTTGACTGGCTTGTGCCAGAGTCTTTGTGGTCCACGCTCTGGTTACATCCCGTTTAGACTACTGCAACGCTCTCTACGTGGGGTTGACTCTGAAGACTGCCAGGAAGCTCCAATTAGTCCAACGCTCAGCAGCCAGATTACTAACAGGAGCGGGATACAGGGAGCATACTACTCCTCTGTTGCACCAGCTCCACTGGCTGCCAATTAGCTTCCGAGCACAATTCAAAGTGCTGGTGTTAACCTATAAATCCCTAAATGACTCCGGCCCAGTTTACCTGTCCGAACGTATTCTCCCCTATGAACCATCAAGATTGTTAAGATCTTCTGGAGGGGCCCTGCTCTCAGTCCTACCAGGCTCGCAATCGCATCTGGTGGGAACAAGGGACAGGGCCTTCTCGGTGGTGGCCCCTCGGCTCTGGAACTCTCTCCCACTGGAGATTAGAACTGCCCCTTCTCTCCTGACTTTTAGAAAACAGGTGAAAACCTGGCTCTGGAAACTGGCATTTGATGAGTGAGTTAATAACTCGTGACTACACGGACGGATGGTGATGAACTACGATTTCATTTTGACGACTTGGCCTTATGTAATTATATGATTGTATTTTAGTATTTTAATGTTTTTTATTGTATTTTGGGATATGATGTTTTAAACGATTGTTGTGAACCGGCCTGAGTCCCTCTGTGGAGGTGAGAAGACCGGTATATAAAAGTTCTAAATAAATAAATCCTCATATCGTGCCTACTTTTCCCGTTGTTGTTGTTGTTGTTGTTGTTGTTATTATTATCATTATTATTATTATGGGTTGTTTCTTTTTAGTGATTCAAAAACCTGCAAAGGATCGTTCATTTACTAGAACAGTTACATTTTTGCAAGAAGACATTTCTCAACTTACCGGGGTCTCTTCGCAGGTTCTAAAGGAGAATCTCTGCAGCAGGACGGTCATGGCGACTTTCAAGGAGAGAAGAGCAAAACGCATCCCGATGCAGTTCCTGGGACCCGCTCCAAAAGGCAGGAAGGTGTACGGGTCAAGGGTTTCCTTATTCTCTTTACTAAACCTGTTGGCAAAACAACAGAGGAAAAGCCAGAAGTTAAACCTCTATTGACAAGCTGGAATGTGTCCAGAGGAGGGCAACTAAAATGATCAAGGTCTGGAGAACAAGCCCTATGAAGAGCAGCTTAAAGAGCTGGGCATGTTTAGCCTGAAGAAGAGAAGGCTGAGAGGAGATATGATAGCCATGTATAAATATGTGAGAGGAAGCCACAGGGAGGAGGGAGCAAGCTTGTTTTCTGCTTCCCTGGAGACTAGGACGTGGAACAATGGCTTCAAACTACAAGAGAGGAGATTCCACCTGAACATGAGGAAGAACTTCCTGACTGTGAGAGCCGTTCAGCAGTGGAACTCTCTGCCCCGGAGTGTGGTGGAGGCTCCTTCTTTGGAAGCTTTTAAACAGAGGCTGGATGGCCATCTGTCAGGGGTGACTTTGAATGCAATATTCCTGCTTCTTGGCAGGGGGTTGGATTGGATGGCCCATGAGGTCTCTTCCAACTCTTTGATTCTATGGTTCTATGATTCCATTCCCCTAAAAAGGAAGTACAGAGAGACACAAACCATGAAACCAACACACAACTTGGATTTGTTGCTGCAAGAAGAGATGTGCGAATCATGGTGGTATTTGTGGCTCTGGAGCAATGCATACACTGATTCTTTGCTGCCCGGAGATATAAGCAAGCTAGGTGGGCACTCCAAAAGCATTCGTTGTAGAAGAACCAATTTATGGGAAAGACTGGTCCAAAGAACATGCTCTACAGCAGTTTTCTCAACCTTCCTAATGCCGCAACCCCTTAATACAGTTCCTCATGCTATGGTGACCCCCAACCACAAAATTATGTAGGATGGATTTTCACTCACTGGACCAAACTTGGCACAAATACCCCATACACCCAGATTTGAATGCTGGTGGGGTTGGCAGGGGATTAAGCTGTTTAACCTCAGAGAGCCAAAACCAAGGTTACAACAACATCTGTTATAGAACTCCAGTATGCTGATGACAACGCCGTCAATTGTGGACAATTTCAACAGAAAGGAGAAAACCATCAAAATGAACAAAATCTGACTACCAGTATTAAAAAACTCTAAAATTACAACAGCAAAACAACAGAAGGGAAACAATCAGGTACATCTAATCACCTCTCAACAAAAGATTGCTCCAAGCACTACCAAGCCACACCAAACAACAGCCAGGCCATCAAATGCTAATCAAGATGGTTAGTTGAAACATTCACACCTAGCTCCAACAGACAAGAGTTCTTTGTCCCACCCTGGTCATGCCACAGATATATAAACCCATTTTCCTAGTTCCAACAGTTCTCACTTTGAGGATGCTTGCCATAGATGCAGGCGAAACGTCAGGAGAGAATGCCTCTAGAACATGGCCATATAGCCCGGAAAAAACCTACAACAACCCACTGATTCCGGCCATGAAAGCCTTCGACAATACATTGAACATAATATAGTTGAAAGCGTCGTTGTGGTTCTGAACAAAGATTAAACCATCAACTCTCCCTTTTTTGAGCAATGGAAACACTTCAGAGAAGTTCGTAAGGAAGACACAAGGGCGTTTACCATCACATATTGATCCCCTAATGCTCGGTACCGCACCATTACTAGTTAGGAAAGATTCACTTGTGACCATTAGCAAAATCAGATGGTGATTGAAGTGGGGAAGAAGAGGGCTCACCCCACACTCACGGGTTGAGACTTTTCATATAGAGATCATGGGTTATTGCATAGTCTTAGCCAAAAATGTACTTCTCCTTCTGGATCAATAAGAGCAAAACACTGCTTTCTGACAATGTCAGAGCCATCTGGAGTGCCCTCCGGAGAAACTGAAAGCCACGACCAAATCAAACAGCATTGATTTTCCAGTAGCAGAAGGTGGAACAATTGCACAAGGAAGAAAAGGATCCTCTCCCACCTCTCCGGCCTGAATTCTTCTGGTTCCGGCCAAAACTCTGGATCCCGGTGGAGGACAAATGCCGGAATAATGGTAACAGTGCCCTTTGGGATGGTCACTCCATTGATCTCCACGGTGTTTTTGCAAACCCTTTCAATCCGTCCTCCGATGGGGTAGAGTCTCAAGGTTTCATTGATCACCATGTCAAGATACTCCATTTTAAGGAGAGTGTCATAGACCGGAGTCGCCTGTGAAGGAGAAAAAGAAAAAATGCTACATGCAGACTCTAAAACAGGCATAGGCAAACTTTGGCCTTTCAAGTGTTTTGGATTGCAGCTTCCACAATTCCTAACAGCCTCAGGCCCCTTCCTTTCTCCCTTCAGTCACTTAAGCCTCTTGGAGAGTGTGACGGGGGATGTGTGGCGGGGTGTGCAGACAGGTCGGAGCGCATCTGCAGCTGAGTGCCTCTTACTCTAGAGCAGTGTTTCTCAACCTGGGGGTCGGGACCCCTGTGGGGGTTGCGGGGGGGGGGGGGGGGGGGGGGGGGGTGTCAGAGGGGTCACCAAAGACCATCAGAAAACATAGTATTTTTTCCTTGTCATGGGTGTTCTGCGTGGGAAGTTTGGTCCAATTCTATCATTGGTGGAGTTGAGAATGCTATTTCAATGTGGGTGAACTATGAATCCCAGCAACTACAACTCCCAAATGGCAAGGTCTATTTTCTCCAAACTCTACCAGTGTTCACATTCGGGCATATTGATTATCTGCACCAAGTTTGATCCAGATCTATCACTGTTTGAGTCCACAGTGTTCTCTGGATGTAGGTGAACTACAACTCCAAAAGTTCAAAGTCAATGTCCACCTGACTCTCCCAGTATTTTCTCTTGGCCATGGGAATTCTGTGTGCCAAGTTTGATTCAATTCCATCATTGGTGGAGTTCAAAAGGCTCTTTGATTTTAGGTGAACTATAAATCCCAGCAACTCCAACAATCCCAAATGACAAAATCAATCCCCCCCCCCCTTTTGATTGTTGGTTAACTATCAGTCCCAGCAACTAAAACTCCCAAATGACAAAATCAAACCCCCATTCAATTCCACCAGTATCCAAATTTGGGCGTATCGGGTATTTGTGCCAAATTTGGTCCAGTGAATGGAAACGCATCTTGCATATCAGATATCAGAGGCACTCCAAGTGGCCAGATACTGGTCGAAGGACATTTAACTACCAAACTTGCAAATGTTGTGTTTTGTCTGTCTGTTTGTTTTGTTCTGTTAAAAATGTAATACAATTGACTGGTTGCCCTGACACGACAAATAAATATTTGGTGTCAATTCATTCAGTGGTTTTTGAGTTATGTTAATCCCACAAACGAACATTACATTTTTATTTATATAGATATCAACCATGGTAGCTGAGAGATTTGAGAAACTGTACATTTTGCCCAAAATCTGGATTCTCTGCAGGACTTTTCCTCCTCTTCTACTATCGAGCAAGTCAGATTTCTGGACACCTTTGAAGGTTTTCATGATGGTCTTTCCAAACCACTACTTAGTGCTTACCTTTCTTTCCTCCTGCCAATTATGTTCCATTTGCTGGAGATCAACAGCTCTCATCTCAGCTGATCTGAGCCATGGGGACAGAGCAGAGTTTTACCTGGTTGGGAAGGGCTTCATCGATTTCCTCCTGAAGCTTCTGCTGCACATCTGGGTGGGTGGCCAGGCAATAAGCCATGTAGCTGAGGGTACTGCTGGTGGTCTCGTAACCAGCAAAGACAAAGATAAAGGCCTGTGTCAAAATCTCTTTATCATTGAGAGCTGGAAAGAATGTGAAAAAGAAAAATGCAATAGTAATCAGCTCAATTGGTTCAGTAGAGAAATTGCCAGTAATAATCAGGGTGGAATTAATGGTTGCACTTTGTATCCTACGAGGGTTGAATGAAAAGTAATGCCTCCACCTTCGTAACTCCTCAACAGATGGCAGTACTGGTATGAGGCAGGTACTGGCTTGTTCAGTAGACTCTCCTCTACAGTTCCATTTTGGCGGGAAGCCTTAGCATTGAATGGTTGTGTTGTTAAAGTGCAAAGTATGGAACCCTGCGCAGAAGGTCGGTCAATGAGACTTAAGCAACGTGCAGTCATTGAATTCTTGACAACAGAAGGTGTCACCCCCAAAGGAGATTCCTCAGAGAATGCAAGCTGTTTATGGTGATTGCGTTGATGTGAGTACTGTGCGTCGTTGGGCGAGTAAGTTTAAAGATGTTGAGGTGGGAACATCTGACTTGCGTGACAAACAAAGAGTTGGACATCCTGTGACAGCAACCACCGAGTTTCACAAGCAAAAGGTTGACAGATTGATTCAGGACAATCGTCGTATCACTCAGAGAGAAATTTCAAGCATAATCGGCATTTCACAAGAACGTGTGGGTCACATTATTGCTTTGCTTGGCTATCGGAGAAGCTGGGCATGTTTAGCCTGAAGAAGAGAAGGCTGAGAGGAGACATGATAGCCATGTATAAATATGTGAGAGGAAGCCACAGGGAGGAGGGAGCAAGCTTGTTTTCTGCTTCCCTGGAGAATAGGACGCAGAACAATGGCTTCAAACTACAAGAGAGGAGATTCCATCTGAACATGAGGAAGAACTTCCTGACTGTGAGAGCCGTTCAGCAGTGGAACTCTCTGCCCCGGAGTGTGGTGGAGGCTCCTTCTTTGGAAGCTTTTAAACAGAGGCTGGATGGCCATCTGTCAGGGGTGATTTGAATGCAATATTCCTGCTTCTTGGCAGAATGGGGTTGGACTGGATGGCCCATGAGGTCTCTTCCAACTCTTTGATTCTATGATTCTATGAAATAAACAAACAAACTGGCTCTTGATTGTTTGCTGTTTGGAAACTCTACACAATGTTCTACAAAAGGAGGAATGACTTTCTTGCCATGGGGATAGAATAATCATCTAACGATGGAAATGTTGGGATGACTATGTGTACTGCTGAGATAAAAGTGTACAGAGTAGCCAATGGGAAGAACCCTTTTCAAAGATCTTCCAATATGAATATTATGAAGAGCAGCACCCATATTTCCAGCTCATATGAGATCCAGAACATCCGAGACTGGGCCAAGAAGACAGAAATAGTCTTTGGATGATCTGGAACCATGGCTGTTGTATCATCTACACTTGTTGTCTATCTCAGAATGACTTCTGAGAATGCAGGTAGGCTTCCCTCCCCCATCATCTCATGATCTATCTTTATTGGTGAAAAACAGAATGAAAATGATAAATAACGAGTGTGAAATACACCCAAAATCTCACCTTTATATGATTTTGAGTCATCGATGATGTCACCTGATATTTGGGAGTCTACCATGAGCTGCAGAAAGTCAACCCGGTCCTGCAGGGAAGAGAAACACAAGAGCTGATGGCTGAAAATGATCAAATGTAAGAGTATTTCCTCCTACAGCTCATCTTGGTGGAGACCATTCATTCCACCTCAAAGCCATGGTTTCCCCTTAGATTTGTTCATAGGGACTTAGAAGACAATTGTATGGCTGAGGCTGACCTTATGAAGGTTCTTTTGTCGGTCCTTCTTGAGTTTCTTGATGGACTCCTTAATGTAGTTTGTGATGGAAGCAGGTGTCAAGCTGAAATTAAATGCCTCCAGCACCGGTATGAGAAATGGAAAGATGACTAGAAAAACAGAAGAGGAGATAGATTGCATTGACTCACAGAATGTTCTTTGAGGGATATTCAAATGGTCCTTAGGTGTCCATGTGAAGGATCTCCTTCCAGCAGCCCAGAAGCAGAAAAATACTAACTGTCCTGGCAAGCTCCAAAAACAGAAAACCTAAACATGTAACTGTTGGCAATACTCCCAGTCTCAGCTAGCTTCTTAGGCGTAGCCTAACCAGCTTTGTGCTTTGCATTTTTCAGTTAACTCACTCACCAACTGATTTTTATATGCTCCAACATAAGTTTGCTAAACTAAATAAAAGGATCTCCTCTCTGAGAGTATTAAAGTCTAATTCCACTGTTCAATCCCCTACAAGCCCCCTCTCCTAATAAATATACCCTTTTCATTGCTATCTCATCCAGAGTTTTATCATTTTATGTCGTGCATTTGGCCCGCCCACTGCGTCTGATTTTCCATTATGTTATTTTGCACTGTTTATTTTACTTGATTGGTTTATTTATTTTATTGTGATGTTATTTTGTTGTTTATATTTTATGTCACTACTAGCTGTACCCGCCACGCATTGCTGTGGCCAACCTTCCCTCCCTCTTTCTCTCCTTCCTTCCCTCTTTCCTTCCTTTCCTCTTTTTCTTTCCCTATCTCTCTTCTTTCTTCCATCTCTACCTGTTTCTTTCCTCCCTTTCTTTGCTCTTTGGTGACATACTTCCTTCCTTCCCTATCTTTTGTTCCTTCTCTCCTTCCTTCCCTCTCTTTTTCCTATCACTTTTTTAATTTCCTTCTCTTCTTCCTTGCTTCTCTATCTTTCTTTGTTTCCTTCTTTCCCTCGCTGCTTCTCTCCTTCCTTCCTTCCCTCTTTCCCTCGTTACTTCTTGACTGTCCCTTCCATTTAATATTGTATTTATATCTTACATAGAAAGAAGGAAAGGAAGAAGGAAGGAAGGAGGGACATGAAGGAAGGAAAAAGGAAGGGAGGGAGGGAAAGAAGGGAAGGAAGGAAAAGAAAGAAGGAGGGACAGGGAGGGAGGAGAAGGAAGGAAGGAGGAAGGAAGGAGGGAAAGAAAGGAGGGGGAAAGAAAGAGGGAGGGAAGGAAATGAAGGGGAAGGAAATGAAGAAAGGGAAAGAAGAAGGAAAGCGAGGGAGGGAGGGAGGGAGGGAGGAAAAGAAGGAAAGGAAGAAGGAAGGAAGGAGGGACATGAAGGAAAGAAAAAGGAAGGGAGGGAGGGAAAGAAGGGAAGGAAGGAAAAGAAAGAAGGAGGGACAGGGAGGGAGGGAGGAGAAGGAAGGAAGGAAGGAAGAAGGAGGGAGGGAAAGAAAGAGGGAGATGAAGAAAGTAGGGAGGGAAGGAAATGAAGGGGAAGGGAAAGAAGAAAGGAAAGAAGAAGGAAAGGGAGGGAGGAAGGAAAAGAAGGAAAGGAAGAAGGAAGGAGGGAGGGACATGAAGGAATGAAAAAGGAAGGGAGGGAGGGAAAGAAGGGAAGGAAGGAAAAGAAAGAAGGAGGGACAAGGAGGGAGGGAGGAGAAGGAAGGAAGGAGGAAGGAAGGAAGGAGGGAAAGAAAGAAGGGGGATGAAGAAAGTAGGGAGGGAAGGAAATGAAGGGGAAGGAAATGAAGAAAGGGAAAGAAGAAGGAAAGGAAGAAGGAAGGAGGGACAGGAAGGAAGGGAAGGAGGGAAAGAAGGAAAGGAAGGAGAAGGAAAGAAGAAAAGGAAAGGAAGGGAGGAACGAAGGAAAGGGAGGAAAGAAGGGAAGGAGAGAAGGAAGGTCCTTCATTCAAGCACCGTGGACCTTCCTCGCCTCTTCCTCCTCCTCCTCCTCCTGCTCCTTCCCTTCTTCCTTGCTCCGTTGCTGCTGCTGACACTCATCCGCCCTTTCCTCTCCCAACAGGGAAAGGAGGAGGAGACAGCCCTCCTGAAATAGGAGGGAAAGAGAAGGGGCTGCATGCGGCAAGCCTCCACCTCCACTCCACTCACTTGTGTGTGTGGCCATGCACGTGCACCTGGCTTTAATGGCCGGCTGTTTCCTCGCGAGGAGGAGGAGGAGGGGGCGTGGCCATGGGTCTCTGTAGACATGCAGTTTCCCCTTTGTGGACATGCAGTTTAGAAGTCTATTTTTGGTTTTCATTGTTTTTTTGAGTGGAGAACATACATTGGGTTGTTAGGGACATAGTGTCCAACTTTGGTGTCAATTGCCCCAGTGGTTTCTGAGTTCTGTGAATAGCACAAACGAACATTACATTTTTATTGATATAGATAATGTATTGCTGGGCATGGCCTCATGTAAGCCGCTCCGAGTCCCCTCTGAGGAGATGGTGGCAGGGTATAAATAATCTTGACTCGAGTATAAGCCGAGGGGAGCTTTTTCAGCTTAAAAAGGGGTCTGAAAAATTAGGTTTATACTCGAGTATATAAACTTGACTTGACTTGTAATGAGTTATGAAACTTTTTTTCATGAATCGCACAGCCCTACTAATAATAAAAAAGGGGGTCCAAATGCTCAGGTAGAGCAAAGACTTCATACCAATGAGGACTATCAGTGGATTCACAAAGTTGAACTTGATTAACTTCTTCATGTTTGTGACAAAAGGGTCGTTGGGGTTGTTTATGGAGTCGATGTTGATGCTGAAGGAAGTGCTGGTGATCACGTCCATACTGTAGGCCCCAAAGATACTGGAAGAAGAAGAAAAAGGTGGGAAAAAAACACCCAACCCTACAAACATCAAATGTAATGGGCATCTATGGCATACAGTGGTCTTCCATTGGCATCCCTCAACAACTTGATTCCCCCTCTGATAGTCTGAAGCCCAGCTACAAATTCAGGACAATTAGGTCAAGCACGCAGTACAATGGACTGCATTGTTCACACAAAAATTACTCACTTCTTTGTGTCTATGTTTTCCCCATTTTCCACTTTCTTCTGGACGTTCTTCACCAACATCTCCCCATAATGTTTGATAATGGGAAACATCTGAAACACAGACCAAAGACCGAGATGCTGAAACAGACTTTAGGTTTCCATTCAGCATGATGGAAGAAGCAAAGACCACCAGCATTGAAGTGATGCTCTGACGCCATCAACTCCGCTGGACCGGCCATGTTGTCTGGATGCCCGACCACCGTCTCCCAAAGCAGTTGCTCTATTCCGAACTCAAGAACGGAAAACGGAACATTGGTGGACAGGAAAAGAGATTTAAAGATGGGCTCAAAGCCAACCTTAAAAACTCCTTGGCATAGACACTGAGAACTGTGAAGCCCTGGCCCTTGAGCGCTCCAGCTGAAGGTCAGCTGTGACCAGCAGTGCTGTAGAATTTGAAGAGGCATGAATGGAGGGTGAAAGTGAGAAACGTGTCAAGAGGAAGGTGTATCAAGCCAACCTCGACCGGGACCACCTTCCATCTGGAAACCAATGCTCTCACTCTGGGAGAAGATGCAGATCAAGAATAGGGCTCCACGGTCACCTACGGATCCACCAGTACACTGACCTTGGTAGACTATCCTACTCGGACAATGAGGGATTGCCTAAGTAGTAGAAGAAGTAAGAAGTAGGGGTCCTGAAAGATTCCATTTTTTTATCTGGCCCATTATGGGGAATGGAAACTTCCCAGGCTCCCCTTCCCGTTATTTTAGGGATTTAAGCTGTTTCTACTCTAGAAGAGTGATACTGCATGCAGGCGTATTAAAGGAGGGCTTCTTAAAGCTGTTTCTACTCTAGAGGAGAGGTGCTGAGGGCAGGCAGACACACTTTCTCTCCTGGGACTGCACCACACCATGCACTCTTTCCAAGGCATTTAAAGAAGGCTTTCTCACTTACAGGTAAGGAAGAGCGATAACCTCCTGGAGCTATTGGGCTTCCTTTAAAAAACCCTCTTTATTCCCAGCACACTTCAATCTCCTTTCTGCTCAGGGTTTAATGCTTCCTTACAGCGGTTTCTACTTTCTACTCTAGAGGAGAGGTAACTGGTAGGAGTTTTCAGGGAATGGGGGCTTTTTTTCATTTGCTGGGATTGATGGGAAAGATTAAACTGTGATGCCGAAAAGCAGAGGAGGAGCTGAGATCGGCTCCCCGCTTGTTTTCGTTGCAGGCGCATTTTCGTACCGAGAGAGTCCTTACCATTACGTGCTCCTGAAGGTACCAAAGGTACTGAAGGAAAGCAGATCTGCGCACAAGTCTACATAGTCTACATAGTATTATTGTTGAAATACATGATGTGAAAAGTATTTCTTGAAAGTAGAAAGTTTGATTAGGGTTGTGGTTATCCATTTTTGGGCATGTTTTCGTACCGAGAGGACCTCACCGTTACGTGCTCTCGAAAGTAGCGAAGGAAAACAGATCTGTGCACAAGTCTACATAGTAGCCCAAATATCTTCAATTTCTTTGTAGTATTATTGTTGTAATACATGATGTGAAAAGTATTTCTTGAAAGTAGAAAGTTTGATTAGGGTTGTGTTTATCCATTTTTGGGCATGTTTTCGTACCGAGAGGACCTCACCGTTACGTGCTCCCGAAAGTAGCGAAGGCAAACAGATCTGCGCACAAGTCTACCCGGTAGCCCAAATATCTTCAATTTCTTTGTAGTATTATTGTTGAAATACATGATGTGAAAAGTATTTCTTGAAAGTAGAAAGTTTGATTAGTTTGTGGTTATCCATTTTTTGGCATGTTTTTGTACAGAGGGACCTCACTGTTATGTGCTCCCGAAAGTAGCGAAGGAAAACAGATCTGCACACAAGTCTACTTGGTAGCCCAAATATCTTCAATTTCTGTATAATATTATTGTTGTAATACAGGATATGAAAAGTATTTCTTGAAAGTAGAAAGTTTGATTCGGGTTGTGTTTATCCATTTTGGGCATGTTTTCGTACCGAGAGGACCTCACCATTACGTGCTCCCGAAGGTAGCGAAGGAAAACAGATCTGCGCACAAGTCTATTTGTAACCCAAATATCTTCAATTTCTTTGTAGTATTATTGTTGTAATACAGGATGTGAAAAGTATTTCTTGAAAGTAGAAAGTTTGATTAGGGTTGTGGTAATCCATTTTGAAACAAAATATACCTTTTACGTGTGGACCAAGTTGGATCTACCAAGTAGACTTGTGCACAGATCTGTTTTCCTTTGCTACCTTCGGGAGCACGTAATGGTGAGGTCCTTTTGGTACGAAAACATGCTAAAAAATGGATAACATTTTTGGGCATGTTTTTGTACCGAGAGGACCTCACCATTACGTGCTCCCGAAGGTAGCAAAGGAAAACAGATCTGTGCACACAAGTCTACTTGGTAGATCAAATATCTTCAATTTCTTTGTAATATTATTGTTGTAATACATGATTTGAAAATTATTTCTTGAAAGTAGAAAGTTTGATTAGGATTGTGTTTATCCATTTTTGGGCATGTTTTCGTACCGAGAGGACCTCACCATTACGTGCTCCCGAAGGTAGTGAAAGAAAACAGATCTGCGCACAAGTCTACTTGTAGCCTAAATATCTTCAATTTCTTTGTAGTATTATTGTTGTAATACATTATGTGAAAAGTATTTCTCGAAAGTAGTAAGTTTGATTAGGATTGTGGTTATCCATTTTGAAACAAAATATACCTTTTACGTGTGGACAAGAGTCCAAGTTGCAACCCACTGTTACAATGCTATGATTCTGAAGAAAAAGAAGAATTCATTAGGAGGCACTTGTCCAAAGAAACTTTGGCGACTTACTTCTTTGAGTCTCCCGCTGGTGAAGTTGGGAGAGAGAACCGTGCGAATCCTCTTCCACTGTTCATCTTGAACTATCAATATGGAAGAATCAAAGTCACCGTTCAGGCCAAAGTCCTACACAGTCCAAGACAGAAAGAAAACAGTCATGAGAGTGACTTGGACTTGGGATTCTTATCTGGTTCAATTGGATTTTTAGTATATGCTATCAGAGGAATTTCAAAGGAGTTCTTTACCCGGCGGTTGGTGAAATGGGTGTAGCATTCTTTCACCAGGATGGTTTTAATGATGACAGGGTCCAGGATAGCCAGCACTGGTAGCCGGCCATCAAAAAATCTAGTTGAGAAAGAAGAAGAGACACATGCACTTAGCAAGGCCTTAGCCAGATAAACTCAATCCAACAGTTCGCACCTCAAAATTCTGTGATCCAAATTTCCATGTCTTCTTGACTTCAAAACCTCCCATATCCTCTTGACCCACATTAATGACTGGGTGCAGGGCTGAATCCTCAAAGAAAGAAAATTTGCATTTGATGCCCCTATCCCAGCAGCTAATTGGGAGAACTATTATCTACAACTATTTGCCCCTTCAACACCTCCAAAGAATCACGTCACCCCTAGTATAGACAGTCCTGAAAAGCTGCCAGACTGGCCCCCGACAACGGTCCAGGAAAAAAAGAGCATAATTAAAAGCCTAAATAACAACAAAGCTCCCGGAGAAGACTTCTTACCACCAGAACTATTTTAATCCAACCCTGACTGGTGGGCTCCCCTAATAGCAGGTTTATTTAATCATATAAATAACACTACCAATATACCAACAGTTTGGAAACTCACAACAATTATGGATCAAGGGTGCCCAAAAGATCCAAAAAATTACAGACCTATTAGTCTCATTGATATAGTGGCCAAAATTTATTCAAAAGTACTTCTCTCCATTTTTTTTTGTCGTGTCAGGAGCGACCTGTGAAACTGCAAGTCGCTCCTGTTGTGAGAGAATTGGCTGTCTGCAAGGACGTTGCCCAGGGGACGCCCGGATGATTTGATGTTTTATCATCCTTCTGGGAGGCTTCTCTCACTCTCCAAATTAGAACTATGGGAATATGACTGGATGCAGGGCTTCTGCTGAGGAGCCAACCATGTGTTGTGTAGACAGCACAGAAGTCCACATGATTTGGCTTGTGCAGACATGTGTTTGGCCTCAGATAATTCAAAAAAGATAATGTAGATTGTCTAATTTGATAATCTGTTTTGTATGGTAGTGTTAAATAGCCTCTGTGTGTCTGTCTATGTATGTGGTGTGTCTATGGCATTGAATGTTTGCCATATATATGTACATTGTAATCCGCCCTGAGTCCCCTGTGAGGTGAGAAGGGTGGAATATAAATACTGTAAATAAATAAATACTGTAAATATATAAACACTAGCCGTCCCCTGCCACACATTGCTGTGGCCCAGTCTGTGTATATGTGTTTTGTGTGTATATATGTGTGTGTATATATTTGTGTATATGTGTGTTTGCGTATATACATATGTGGTTTTGTGCATTCGTTGTAATGTATTTTTTGTTTTTTGTTTTTTAAGTCGCTTCTGCTGTGTTTTTCAGTATTTTGATGAGTGAAGGTCACTCGTTGGCCTGATACGTATATTGTGTCCAAATTTGGTGCCAATTCGTCTAGTGGTTTTTGAGTTATGTTAATCCCAAAAATGAACATTACATTTTAATTTATATAGACTAGCCATCTCCTGCTACACGTTGTTGTGGCCCACTCTGATGGTCATGGGGGTTCTGTGTGGGAGGTTTGGCCCAATTCCATCATTGGTGGGGTTCAGAATGCTCTGTGATTGTAGGTGAACTACAAATCCCAGCAACTACAACTCCCAAATGTCAAGATTCTATTTTCCCCAAACTCCACCAGTGTTCACATTTGGGCATATTGAGTATTCGTGTAGAGTTTGGTCCAGATCCATCATTGTTTGAGTCCACAGTGATTTCTGGATGTAGGTGAACTACAACTCCAAAACCAAGGGACACCGCATACCAAACCCTTCCAGTATTTTCTGTTGGTCATGGGAGAACTGTGTGCCAAGTTTGGTTCAATTCCATCGTTGGTGGGGTTCAGAATGCTCTTTGATTGTAGGTGAACTATAAATCCCAGCAACTACAACTCCCAAATGACAAAATCATTTTTTTAGTGAAGGACATAGATTGGGTTGTTAGGTGTCTTGTGTCCAAATTTGGTGTCAATTCGTCCAGTGGTTTTTGAGTTCTGTTAATCCCACAAATGAACATTACATTTTTATTTATATAACTAGCTGTACCTGCTTGCTGTGGCCAACCTTCTCCCTCTTTATCTCCTTCTTTCCCTCCCTTCCTTTCTCCCTCTTTCCTCCTTCCTTCCCTTTCTCTTCTTTCCTTCTTTCTCCCTTCTCTCTCTTCCTCCTTCCTTTTCCTTCCTCCCTTTTCTTCCCCCTTTCTCTCCTTTCTTCCTTCTCTACCTCTTCCTTCCTTCACTTTTTGCTTTCCATCCTTCCTTCTGTCTTTCTTCCCTCCCTCTTTCTCCTTCTTTCCCTCTTCTTCCCTCCTCTTCCTCTCCTTCCTTCCTTCCTTCCTTCCTTCCTTCCTTCCTTCCTTCCTTCCTTCTACCTCTTTCTTTCCTTCCCCCTTCCGTTTTCTTTTCCTCCCTCTTTCTCTCCTTCCTTCCTTCTCTACCTCTTTCCTTCCTTCTTTCGCTCTTTGCTTCCATGCTTCCTTTTCTCTTTCATTCATTCTTTCCCTCTCTCTTTCTCTCCTTCCTTCGCTCCCTCTTTCCTTCCTCCCTTCCTTCCCTTTTCTTCTTTCCTTCTCTCCTCCCTTCCTTCTCTACTTCCTCCTCTACTTCTTTCTCTCCTTTTCTTCTTTTCTCTCTTTCCTTCCTTCACTTTTTTGCTTCCTTCCTTCTTCTTTCTTCCCTCCCTCTTTCTTCCTTCCTTCACTCCATCTTTCCTTCTCCTTCCTTCCTTCTCTACCTCTTTCTTTCCTTCCCCCCTCCCGTTTTCTTTTCCTCCCTCTTTCTCTCTTTCCTTCCTTCTCTACCTCTTTCCTTCCTTCTTTCGCTCTTTGCTTCCATGCTTCCTTCTCTCTTTCATTCTTTCTTTCCCTCTCTCTTTCTCTCCTTCGCTCCCTCTTTCCTTCCTTCCCTTTTATCTTTCTTTATTTCTTTCCCTCCCTCCCTTTCTCTCCTTTCTTTTTCCCCTTCCTTCCCTCCCTCTTCCTTTCCCCCCCCCCCCTGTATTGTCGTTTAGCTTTCTGTCATTTAGCTTTTTGGGTGTTTTTAAGTATTTTCCACTGTTTTTTTGGGGTGGTGGTGGTTTATATGTGGTGGTCACTCGTTGGTCTGTTAGGGGTACAAGGTAAAGGTAAAGGTAGTCCCCTGACATGAAGTCCAGTCATGTCTGACTCTGGGGGTTGGTGCTCATCTCCATTTCTAAGCCGAAGAGCCAGCGTTGTCCATAGACACCTCCAAGGTCATGTGGCCAGCATGACTGCATGGAGCGCTGTCAGGGGTATAGTGTCCAAATTTCGTGTTAATTCGTCCAGTGGTTTTTTGAGTTCTGTTAATCCCACTAACAAACATTACATTTTTATTTATATAGATTATACATAAACATTGATTGAGGCTCCACGACTGAAAAGGGTTGAGAACCCCTGTGCAAGGCTATTGACAAACCCCACTTAGGTAGGATGCAAAGGTCAGAAAGGGAGTTGCAGGGTTGAGTTTGAGATGCTATACATGTCTGCACTAGAAATAAATGGACAGCTCCACCCAATAGCAAATTGTCTCTGTCAACCAACTGTAGGAACTCACCCCCAGATCTTGCCATACTTCTTGTGACACATCTCGTCGAAATCAAGGATCCCCTGCCAAGAGAAAAAGAGATGTCAGAAAAGCCAGGAATGGGAAATTCAGGCAAAGGGGGCAGGGTAGTTACACTTTAAACTGTGTTGTCTCCGCCCGGCTATGAACGAACGAACATCCGTGGATACTCACCTTCCGATATTCAAGGAATGTGCCGACAAAAGGCAAAGGCTTCGGACCAGGAATGCCCAGCTTCTTGAAGAAATTGTAGGGCCAGATCCCATAGCTGGAAAGACAAAGAGAGAGACACTCAGTGGATGAAGCATCAGAGGGAGGTTTGCAAGGAGAGAAGAGGCAAGGTTGGTTTATTTATTATTTATTTACAGTATTTATATTCCAACCTTCTCACCCTGCAGGGGACTCAGGGCGGATTACAATGTACACATATATGGCAAACATTCAATGCCAAAGACACACAACAGATATAGACAGACAGTCAGAGGCTACTTAACATTCCAGTTTCAAGAAGGTATTCTGGTCACCAGGGGAGCTGTCGCTTCACCGTCTATTTGTGCCACGGATGGAGTACTTCCTCATTCTTTTGCATGCTTGCTGGAGATTTTTATGGCGTTGTAAATTAGTTAAATTAGTCTCCCCGCATAAGCGGTACCTAAATTTCCTACTTGACAGATGCAACTGTCTTTCAGGCTGCAATGTACACATATATGGCAAACATTCAATGCCAAAGACACACAACAGATATAGACAGACACTCAGAGACTATTTTACTTTTCTGGCCGCCAGGGGAGCTGTCGCTTTCATTGTCCATCTGCGACACGGATGAAGTACTTCCTCATTTCCCGCATGCTTTTTGCTGGAGTGCTTTACTGGAGTATTTTTTATGGCCTCGTAAATTAGCCTCCCCACACATAGGTGGTACCTAATTTTCCTACTTGACAGATGCAACTGTCTTTCGGGTTGCAAAGGTCAGCAACAAGCTACACAATTGGTCGGAAGCTCACTCCGACCTGGGCTGGCTTTGAACTCATGACCAGAAGTGATCTTAATGCAGCTGACACTAAGACAGCTGCACTACAGTCCCGGATAACTGATAAGATAAAAGATAACTGGAGTGAGCAATACTCTGTCTGAGAGTCATCAGAACAGAGTTTGCAAGGCAATGAGCAACAATAAAGTTTATAGAGTTGGAAAAGACTTGGTGGGCCATCCAGCCCAACCCCATTCTGCCAAGAAGCAGGAAAATTGCATTCAAAACACCCCTGACAGATTGCCATCCAGCCTCCAAAGAAGGAGCCTCCACCACACTCCGGGACAGAGAGTTCCACTGCTGAACAGGAAGTTCTTCCTGATGCTCAGGTGGAATCTCCTTTCTCTCCTGTAATTTGAAGCCGTTGCCCATTGCTTCCTAGTCTCCAGGGCAGCAGAAAACAAGCCTGCCCCCTCCTCCCTAGGACTTCCCCTCACCTCTTGATCTATGGCCCTCCTCATATCTCCTCTCAGCCTTCTCTTCTGCAGGTTGAACATGCCCAGCTCTTTGAGCCACTCCTCCTAGGGTTTTGAAGTCGAACATGCCCCCCCCCTCCCAGAGATATTAAAAGGACGCCAGGCTGGATAATAAGGGTTAAGCCTTGGTCAGCTTGGTGGGTATCATTTAATCAAGGCTTTATGCTCTATTTTCATATGTTTACAGCTGAAAGTAACCAATTTTTTTTACTGAAAATCATACCACAAAAGTATTTGAATTTTCCCATCTGAGGCACACCTGGGCTCCTGATGGTCCCCCATCTCACAAACAAGGGACTCTCTTTCCCCCTCATGGATATTTCCCTTTATGGACACTGGGGGAAGGTAGTTGGGTTTACTCTCTGTGTTATGATTTCTATATTTTCATATTTTCTCCTGTATTTCTATATTTCCCTTCATGTATTTGACCTTGCCCTGACCCTTTTGCCCCCTTCCCCTCTCCTTGGGGGAAATCTACAAGGAAGCTGCCCTGCCTCTGGAAAAGCAATCAGCGATCAGGAAAAGACCCTTATCTTTGGACATTCTTTGCATGGACAATAGTAAAGGAAATCCTTTTGTCTTTGGAGTTGGGCCACCATTAGGATTTCTGTTTGGCAGACTTTTTAATCATATAACAATGGGGGGAATATGATCTTAGGAAAGTCCTCTTTTCCTCCAAGCCATTTTTCTTTCAAACTTCTCCACAAAGAACTTCCACCCAAGTCTTCCCCTTTGTGTCATATCTGATGGCGACAGGAAAACCCAGATTTCTTTTTATTGCCTTCACTCATGAACATCAGCCCTGCTTTTTGTCTCGCGAGCCACATGACATTATTTTTTTCAAAACTCATTCACAGATTCCTTTGTGTTCTATCATCCCGCCTCGCTCTCCCCTGATTTGCTGTCACCGCTAGGTGGCAGGACTCTTCCCATTGGATTCAACGCACCACTGAAGCTTCCTGATTGGTCCCGAAGCCCAGGGGGCAGGAGGGCCGCCTCCCAGCTGTTCACCCATCGCCCAATCACGGCGGGGAACGTCAGGGAAGCCGGAGCGGGAAGTTTGAACTCTACAACTTTGAATTTGCTATAAATATGACTGTATTGGTGTATTCTCCTCATGCTTTGTAGGTGAATTATTTCTACATAGCATCCTTTTCAGCTGAATTGCTAATAAACGCCTCGGTGCCACTTCTTCAACTTTGGTGAGCTTTATTTTGAATTTTAATCTAAATAAAATTGCTGAAATCAGGCTTCTCTGGCTCGCCAAAGTAGCGGATCCTCTTTGGTGCGGTCTTAGGGTCCCTCCTCCTGGGGAGGACCCTTCCAAAGCTTCTACCGGCTTCAGCTTGTTGCACTCCTCTGCACACATTTCACCTTAGAGTCAACATTTCCCTTCAATTTCAGTGCTCAGAATTGAACACAGTATTCCAGGCAGGTTAGAATAGGGGGGAGCAAGACTTCTTTGGATCTAGGCACTAGGCTCCTATTGATCCAGGCCAAAATCCCATTGGCTTTTTTTTGCCACCACATGACAATGTTGGCTCATTATAACTGAGGCCCCTTCTACACTACCATAAGCAAGTAAAAGCCATATAATCCACATTATCTGCTTTGAACCGGGTTATACGGCATCGTGAACTCAGATAACCCAGTTCAAAGCAGATAGTGTGGATTATCAGACTCGATATTCTGGGCCCAGAAGGATCCAAAGTCGAACAAAATATGGGAATTGCAACTGAAGGCACAGCGTCTGAAAGGGCAGGGTTTTAAAACTGTTTATCAGGGCAAAGGACATTAACTTCCCTCTGGTATCGAGTTTCAAGAACAGCTTTGAACATAAGGTCTTGGCATCTACATCATTTTGCACAAGTCTGCACAGGTATGTGGTATAATCCATTTTAATTATCGCCAGTCTCCACCAAACACAACTCAAGTGTTGGCTGGCTTTGGTATTTGTTGCTGTCGTTCTTGGATATTTTAAATATATATACATTATTTTGATTGCTCTGGGCCTCTTCTAGACTGCCATACAATCCAGATTATCAAATAAGATAGTCCACATTATCTTCTTCGAACTGGATTATATGAGTCTACACTGCCATATAGTCCAGTTCAAAGCAGATAATCTGGAAGTTTAGGACAGGTTGCATGAATGAACAATCAGAAGTAAAAACCCTAAGGTGATACCTTCACTCTGCTCAGTGCAGAAGGGAGAACCCCATGGGATTCTACACTGACAAATTAACACAGTTTGACACCACTTTAAAGCCCCGTCTACATTGCCATAAAAAAGCCAGATGATCTGTTTTGAACTGGATAATATGGCACTGTGGACTCAAATAATCCAGTTCGAAGCAGATAAAATGGATCTGCGGTGGCACAATGGGTGGAAACCTTTGTGCTGGCTGAACTGCCGACCTGAAGGTTGGCAGTTTGAATCCGCGGGATGGGGTGAGCTCCCGTCTGTCAGCTCCAGCTCCCCATGCTTGGAAATGAGAGAAGCCCCCCACACATCCGGGCATCCCCTGGGCAATATCCTTGCAGACAGCCAATTCTTTCATGTCAGAAATGACTTGCGGTTTGAATCTGCGGGACGGCGTGAGCTCCTGTCTGTCAGCTCCAGCTTCCCATGCTGGGAAATGAGAGAAGCCCCCCACACATCCGGGCGTCCCCTGGGCAACATCCTTGCAGACAGCCAATTCTTTCACACCAGAAATGACTTGCGGTTTGAATCTGTGGGACGGGGTGAGCTCCTGTCTGTCAGCTCCAGCTTCCCATGCAGGGGCATGAGAGAATTCTCCCACAGGATGGTAACACATCAGGGCGTCCCCTGGGCAACATCCTTGCAGACAGCCAATTCTTTCACACCAGAAACGACTTGCAGTTTGAATCTGCAGGATGGGGTGAGCTCCTATCTGTCAGCTCCAGCTTCCCATGCAGGGACATGAGAGAAGCCTCCCACAGGATGGTAAGACATCTGGGCATCCCCTGGGCAACGTCCTTATTATTTATTTATTTACTGTATTTGTATACTACCTTTCTCAGCCTATCAGTGACTCCTTGCAGACAGCCAATACTCTCACACCAGAAGCGACTTGAAGTTTCTCAAGACACTTCTGACATGACCAAAAAAAAATCTGGATTATATGGCAGTGTGCCACTTAGAGAGAAACATACCTAAATCAAGGCTTCCCTTTTGCACTTTAGGGGGAAAGGCAAGTTTCCCGGCTGTCGAACCTGACCTTGGTTGCTGTCCCAAACTGACCCCTAAGGAGATGCCAGACCCCCCCATTGTACTCACAGCATCAGGAGGACCAAGAAGAGCCCCACAAACACCCAAGTTTGGGGGGAAAGGAAGGAAAGGAGGTCCATGTTGCACCGCACACTAATCCCTTCTCTCTCCTTGGCAGCGTTGAGAGGAGAAAGTGTTATATGTTTGCTTTCTCTGGGCACTCCTTGTGCTCTTATATGTCTGTTTCCTCCTTCAGGGGTCACGTGAAAGAGGCAGGGAGATCCCAGTTGACAGGGATGTTGACATCACAGCAGCCCAGCTGGCCTCGCCCTTGATCTCTCCAGAAACTGGTTTTGCCTTTATTTGCCCTTTGGATGCATTCCCTGCCAGTGCCAACTTTGAGTCCCGAATCGGGAACAGCACACTTGGCATCCAGCCCATCCCAGGGATTTCTTGGCACCATTCATTCAGGCAAAAAGAAAAAGTGAATCTGAGAAAGTCTGCCTTGCCCAAGGATACCCAGGGTGCTTCTACACCATGTATGGGTAAACCCAGGCCCAGGGGAGGGATGTGGCCCCTTGGGCTCTTTTCTCAGGCCCTCTTCTTTCTCACCATCTTATCCTTCCTTCCTTCTCTTTTTCTCCCTCCCTCCTTCCTTCCCTTCCACGCTTTCATCTTTCTTTTCTTCTTTCTCCCTCCTTCCCTCTCTCCCTTTCTCTTTCCTTCCTTCCTTCCCTCCCTCTTTTCTTCCTTCCTTCTTCCTTCTTCCTCCTCTTCTCTTTTCCCATGGCTCTCCTTCCTTCTTCCTCCCACTCTTTTCTTCCTTCCTTCCTTCCTTCCTTCCCCCTCTCTTTTCTTCCTCCTTCCCTCTTTTCTTCCTTCATCCTCCCTTCCCTCCTTCCTTTCCTTCCTTCCTCTCCTCTTTTCTTCCTCCCTTCTTCCCCCCTCCCTCCTCCTTCCTTTCTTCCCTCTTCTCTTCCTTACTTCCCCCTCTCTTTTTTCCTTCCCTCCCTTCCTTTCTTTCTTTCTCCTTCCCTCTCTTTTCTTCCTTCCTTCCCCTTTCTTTCCTTCCCTCCCTCTTTTCCTTTCCCTTCCCCTTTCTTCTCCCTCCTCTTCTTCCTTCCTTCCCTCCCTCCTCCCTCCCTCCACTCTTTCTTCCTTCCCTCCTTCTTTTCTTCCTCCCTCCCTCTTTTCTTCCTTCCTTCCTTCCTTCCCTCCCTCCCTCCTTTTTCCTTTTTTCCTCCCTCTTCTTTCTTCTCTCCTCCTCCCTTTCTTCCCTCCCTCCCTTCCTTTTTTTCCTTCTTCCCTCCCTCCCTCCTCTTTTCTTCCTTCCCTCCTTCCCTCCTTCTTCCCTCCTCTTCTTCTCTTCTTTCCTCCCTCCTTCCTTCTTTCCCTCCCTCTTTTCTTCCTTTGTTCTGTCACGCACTGGGCATGTAATAATTGTCTTTTGAAATAGGACGTGCACCTTGTGCCCAGCGGGAAGCCAATCCTTGAGGGCCACGAAAGAGGCCCTCAAGGATTTTCCTGAAGAAATGGTCTTTAGATGGCTTGAAAGGTTAAACAAAGTCCTTTATTGTTGAACAAATTAAACAGATATTTCTCAAATCTTCAATGAGTCAAACAAATGCTTCAAGGCTTTAAATCAACTGGTGGCTTTCTTAATCTTGTCCACAAGGGACAGGCAACTGTCTTCATTAACTGTTCTTATACTTTGAGAGGAAAACCCTTTTTTAACCTCTCCCAGGCTGTCTGTTATCTAAGTTTTGTTGGTGTGGGATCTACTACCGATTCCAAACTGCGTCTTGGTACCGAGTAAACCTACCAGACAAAGCTTGTAGATTCTCCAGCTGGAGTTCTTTGGGTCTGTAAAGCTGTTTTCCCTCTGGAATTTCTTTAAGACTTTAGGGCTGTTTCCCTCAGATGCTGTAAGGCTGAGAGGCTGCAAGCTCCCAGCCAGAGCTTTGAGAATTTCCCCCCAGAATGTCTGCAGAAATGAAGCTTTTCTGCAGGTGAAGCTTATCAACGTCCTCTAAGTTTTCCTCACTAAGACTAACTAAAAATGGCCCCCTTTCCCTTCCCATCTCCCTGGGAGAAGGGGTGGATCCAAACTTAACAATGATAGACAGGTGGCTTGCCCTATGACTGCAAACCAAAGGAAGCCACCTTTTTGCAGAATCCCTGAAACTTGGAATGCATGCAAACACTTAATAGAAAGAAAATAAAGTTGGAGCTCCTGGTACAGACATACCAGAACATCCTTATCCCTTTTCTTCCTTCCCTCCCTTTTCTTCCTTCCTTCCTTTTCTTCCTTCCTTTCCTTCCTACCTCCTTCCCCCTCTTTCTCCTTCCTGCAGTTTCCAAAGTGGCCTGGATCTGATGTAAATCTGCCACAAGATGTTGACACTTCGGTCATGCAGGCAATCAATGAAGCTTCCATCAATTTATTGATTTATTTAAATTGTGTTTATCTTTTGAATACAAAGCTGCCCAAAAACAGGACAAAAGATTACGAGGCAACAGATATTGTCTATATATTACAATCACACACACAAAGTCTAGATTCAAGAAGAGGTTATGATGCTCTTGTGCGATCGATTGATGTATCTGCCTTTTTCACAAAAATGTTCACATTCAAGTTGAGCTATCAAATAGAAAGTAAATGACATAAACATGCTATGGAATCCACATAGAAATTAACATAGGTATATGGCTTGCTTTACCTTCTTATTACAGGTTCTTTTTTCATGTTAGGAGCAACTTGAGAATCCGCAAGTCGCTTCTGGTGTGAGAGAATTGGCCGTCTGCAAGAAAGCTGCCCAGGGGACGCCCGGATGTGTGGGAGGCTTCTCTCAAAACTCACAGAAATCCATATACAGAACTATTTTGCTGAAGTTCTTGGAAGGAAAAGCTAGCAAGTTCTTATCCAGCTTTTCTCTATTAATGTCACCAATGTGAGGATATGCATGAGACCATTTACACACATGGCCCTCCCCTGTCAATCTTCAGTCCACTTCCTTCCATTCCATGGGATGCAGAAGAGCGGAGGTGGCAGTGACCTCTTGGCTATATGAATTAGGTTTCATTCCTTCGATTCAGCCATAACTCTGGGTACGAACTTCAGTTGGATGGGATGTTTTGTCCGCTTGAAACCTTTACTTTCCAGCACCAAAGGGATCTACGAGGGTTGAATGAAAAGTAATGCCTGCACCTTTGTAACTCCTTAACAGATGACAGTACTGGTATGCGGCAGGTACTGGCTTGTTCAGCAGACTCTTCTCTACAGTTCCATTTTGGCAGGAAAACTTAGCATTGAATGATTGTGTTGTTAAAGTGCGAAGTATGGAACCCTGCGCAGACGGTCAGTTAATGCAACTTAAGCAATGTGTAGTCATTGAATTCTTGACAGCAGAAGATGTCAGCCCAAAAGAGATTCATCAGAGAATGCAAGCTGCTTATGGTGATTGTCGAAGGCTTCACCTCTGAGGATGCTTGCCATAGATGCAGGCGAAACGTCAGGAGAAATGCCTCTAGAACATGGCCATATAGCCCGAAAAAACCCACAAGAACTTATGGTGATTGTGTTGATGTGAGTACTGTGTGTCGTTGGGCAAGTAAGTTTAAAGATGTTGAGGTGGGAACATCTGACTTCCGTCACAAACAAAGAGTTGGACGTTCTGTGACAGCAACCACCGAGTTTCACATATGAAAGGTTGACAGATTGATTCAGGACCATCGTCATATCACTCAGAGAGAAATTTCAAGCATAATCAGGATTTCACAGGAACGTGTGGGTCACATTATTGCTTTGCTTGGCTATCAGAAGATCTGTGCACAGTGTCACCCAGGATGCTGACTCCTGAAATGAAAGTGCACAGACTTGAAACATCAGAGACTGGCTCTCACCACTGTACGACATCCTCCATACAGTTCAGATTTAGCATTGTCTGACTTCCATCCGTTCCCAATAATGCAAGCTGTTTATGGTGATTGTGTTGATGTGAGTACTGTGTGTCATTGGGCGAGTAAGTTTAAAGATGTTGAGGTGGGAACATCTGACTTGCGTGACAAACAAAGAGTTGGACGTCCTGTGACAGCAACCACTGAGTTTCACAAGCAAAAGGTTGACAGATTGATTCAGGACGATTGTCGTATCACTCAGAGAAAAATTTCAAGCATAATCGGCATTTCACAAGAACGAGTGGGTCACATTATTGCTTTGCTTGGCTATAAGAAGATCTGTGCATGATGGGTACCCAGAGTGAGAAAACTGTGAGACACTGGTTGCGGAAACAGAGTGTCGACTTCTTCCATGACAGCTTCAGAAAACTTGTTTATCATTGGCAGAAATATATCCAATTGTCTGATGATTATGTGTAAAAGTGAATAGCGGTAGTTAAAGAGCACATTCTAAGGATGATTTCTGCGTTTGATTTATTAAAATATTCCCATCCAAACCCAAGTAACGAAGGTGGAGGCATTACTTTTCATTCAACCCTCGTATGCCACAAGGACATGGAAATCGGGAAGACAAAGAAAGAAGAAATAGCGAGTGCATAGGACTATGGGAAGATTCCAAGCAGACCCACAGAGCTCCAATATACCACATTTCTGTTACTTTACATTCACCTCTAGCTCTTCTCACACATCTACACACACCCTGGTGCATTGGATAAGAGTACAATGGCGTGTCAAAGGGTGTGCTCGCACTTCTGCTTAGCCACTGAGCCAGGAAACTCATACTGAGTCGAAGTGCGAACACAGCTACCCAGGCGCACGGACTGCCGGAGGGTGATGTTGGCCAAAACTACAAAATATAATTGAGGTTGTTGAAGAGGAGCTAAAGTGTGGGAAGAAGGGGTGCAAATGCATGGGTGTCCTTTTGCTCTTGGTGACTCAAAACACGCAAAGCCATTTTCATTCAGTGGAACGGCTGCATTCGAGCAGGGAGACATTCCCTCTCTTTGCAGATCAGTCGCAGTCTGGTTTCAGGCCTGGTCACGGCACCGAGACAGCCTTGGTGGCCTTGGTGGATGACCTCCGTAGAGAGCTGGACAGGGGGAGTGTGACTCTGTTGGTTCTCTTGGACATCTCAGCGGCTTTCGATACCATCGATCATGGTATCCTTCTGGGTCGTCTCTCTGGGATGGGTCTCGGGGGCACGGTTCTGTCGTGGCTCCGATCCTTCCTGGAGGGTCGATCCCAGATGGTGAAGCTGGGAGACGCCTGCTCGGACCCCTGGCCTTTGACCTGTGGGGTCCCGCAAGGCTCTATTCTGTCTCCCATGCTCTTTAATATCTACATGAAACCGCTGGGAGAGGTCATCCGGAGTTTTGGAGTTAGGTGCC